ACAGGCCAACGTTTATTCCCACGTACATTCTATACTATACAGATCTTTTATTTAGGTGCGGTGAGGATACCGCATTGCCATTTAAGGTCATCTACGAACAGAATAGAGGTTGCTAGTAAATAATTAGGATATACAGGCAATGGATACTTTTTCTACAGCCATATTCTGATAGACACAACCAATTCTAATCGTAGACAGCGGCTTGGCTCTGCCCCTGGCATTGCTGAAGTCCATGGGCGCCGGTAACCACTCACCATCAGGTGGGCTGTACGCTCGTCTGCCTACAAGGCAATAAAAAAAAAATGCATTTGTAAAGAAATTCTTACTTTTTTTTTTGCTTAGATGGGTGGACGAGCTCACGGCCCACCTGGTGTTAAGTGGTTACCGGAGCATATAGATATCTAGAACGTAAATGCCGCAACCCACATTGAAACATGAGTTGTAAGGTCTCACTTTTAGCAGTACAACGGTTGCCGCGCTCTTCAAACCGAAACGCATTACTGTTTCACGACAGAAATAGGCAGGATGGGTGGCGTATTTACGTTGTGGATGTCTATGGGCACCAGTAACCATTTAACACAAGGTGAGCAGTGAGCTCGTCCACCGATCTAAGCGATAAATAATAAATAAATAAACTCACAAGACATCCTGCCACCAGTAATTACGCAAATTATAATTTTGCCGGTTTGATTTTTATTACACGACATTATTTTTAAATTTATTTTTAATTTTTTAACTTTTGCAAAGATTCGACTATAAGGTACTTTACAATATTCATAGTCACGGGCGACTAAGCTTTATTACTACGTCATATCCGTCGACATATTATTATGTATATTCTGCTAACCGCCGTCTTTCTTTTTGTATCAAAATTATTTCTAAACTTTTACGTTTTTTCTCTAAAACAATACAATAACCGTAAAAGTGTAAAGTTTTAATTACGTCTACGTCTCGCGAAAATTGAATATAATACGATTTAAGTGAGTGAGATTTATACGCGTTCTTATTTCGTTACGCTCAACACACATAAGAGGAAGATTAAAAGCATTAATTTTGTGTAGGTACATAGCTTACGCTGTCTAACGGAAGTTTTTTTGAGTGTTTGAGCTTGTTGACGTTGACATTATCAAGGAGACCACAAACACCAGCGTCCCGGGCGCCATTAAGCAGGCCGAATGCAGGCAACATTAGAGGAAGCTGGTGCAAAAACTGGACCAAGGTGGTCACGACCCTCAGTAATGAGGAAACGACAAAGAAGAATAACACGAAAGGTTCGACGGCTTCTACACCATAGAGAATACAATCCTGAGGGCAGTTACCGTGTCATGGTGAAAACATAGACAGCTACCCCGGTCATATCGTTCTCGTCGAACTCGTCGCTTGCGACGAAGGGCTCCGCGAGCGAATTAACCCATAGACACAGCCACTGAGTTTCTCGTTGGATCTTCTCAGTGGGTCGCGTTTCGGATCTGGTGGTAGATTCTGCGAAGCATAGCTAGGGTTCGTGTTAGCAACAACGTCAGGTTTGAGCCCCGTGAACTCACCTACTAGTTCGGTGAATCTAGAATAATCCTTCGAGGTTACTAGAATAGGTAGAAAAAAAAAGTGAAAATTTAGTCAGCTACCATAATAAAATGAGTAAATGAAATTCCGTATTTGTGCCGTTGACCATTGAATACTCTCTTCATACGCCTTGATGTTGAACCGACCTTGTACCAGGTTTCTGAAAAAAAGGTCATGTTTACCATGTCGAAGGGCGAAAGGCTAGGTATTAGGTTTAAACGACATTTTTGCAACCTCACTGGAGTGCCATTTAAAGTTTAAAATTTAGAAAAGATATCATAGCAAAAAACCTTGTTCAGGTAAACGGAAATGATGATGAACGGGGGTAAACTTAATTGAAATTCAATTAAAAAGATCAAATTGTTGATACTAATACTAAATAAAACGGACCATTAATTACAGAGATAAAAGTAGCTTGTTAAAGAAAATGTCGCTTAAACCAAATAGCGTTTTCACGCCTCGATGTGATACCATTGTATAAAAGTTAACTCCGTAGGAGAAGAAGCATAAATAACGTAAATCACGTTGCAACCTTTGATATGAACAAACACTGTGTATTTTATTTTGCTTTTAGTAGCTTCAGACGTATTAATATTAGTTAGTATGTAACGGAACCTTTGAATATGATTTTGAACCCCTTCAAAACGTCGGATTAACTCGAAATTTTGTATATTTATTAAGGACCGATGACAATTCAATATTTAAAAAAAATTGAAAAAATTGAAATTGAACTAAAAAATTAAAAATTAATAATAGTTTAAAAAAACTAAATAATACACTTTTATAAAAAAAACCACTAAAAAATAGAAAATAAATCTTAATAAATTTGAATTAAAAATAATGTAAGAAAAAATGTTTTTATTGTAAAAAAAAAGCGTGTGGTGCTTTTCAGGATATTATCAAAATAACCCTTCTACTCATATCAGCTGTTCATAAAATATTTATAACTACTGATACCATGCACCCCACGCTTTTTTTTTTGTTAATGGCCTTATAGGTAAAGGAGCATACGGCCCATTTCATTATGAGTTGCTACCGTCGTTCATGGATGTCAGCAGTCCAATGCACAGTCAAGCTGGAACCTACTATCGTCGTGTATATTAAAACGAAAACACTCCAACAAACACTCCAAAGTCGATACCGATGAAATTTTCTGGAATTTTTCAAATTAGTCCAGCAGATGATGCTGTAGTTTAGTAGCGATGAAATCAAAGATCGACCAGCTTAACAGGCCGGATTTAATTAACACATAAAATACCTACGAAGATTGCAAATTAAATAAAAACTTATAATCACAGTTTTTCAGTAAGCAGGACCGCATATGCGTTAATCGCTTAACTAATATAATTAGTACAACAGATTAGAAGAATACAAGGCAAACGTAAGATGTAATAAAGGCTCTGTTTGTCCATATCGAGTGTGGAATTGTGGAACACTATGTCTGCCTTGTTTGGTTGGTTGGTGACTACAAGTACGATGACATTCCATTTTTATTAGCGACTAGACAGATCCGGGCTTGCAGGTCGATATTTGATTTGTTTATAATCAGATCGTTACCAAACTTCACAGAATCACCTCAAAGCACTGTAAGTGGATTCCGGATAACCCGAATGTTTCGGGCTTTGCCTTGCCCCATCACGATATGACGCTGCCTACCTCAGGGAATTCTTTGCAAGCCTCGTTTAAAAAGGAACTTTTAATTGGTATAAATCACTGAAGTCTATGGTATAAATTTAAATTTTGGTATACTTCAATTTTTATTGACAGTTTTTTAATTGTGACATTGTCTTGCGACTGGCATTGTCTTTCCATTTATTGGTTAGTGTTTAATTAAAGTATGGGTTAATGATAGTAATAATATTATGATCTCGTTGTTCACATTGAAGAACATGTTGGGATTTTATACGTGCTGCCATCTAGTAGGTAGTATTTAAAAGTATTGCATTTTAATTCTTGCGTCTTGCGAGGTTCTTATGGCCTGCAGTTCTCCTCATTATTTTGCTCAGAAAATGACCGATTAAAGGACTTTTATGTATACATACTGAGGTGGTTTATCACAATCATAAAGCCCACTGAGCCCATCGGATTTTCTCAGTGGGTCGCGATTCCTATGTAGTGGTAGATTCATTGACACCCTGTTCTTGCTGGGGTAGATATTAACCAAGTTTCTTAAGCTGAGCCATGAGCCATCGCCTACACGTTCGGTGAAACTATAAACCCTCGAGGTTACTAATAATATAAGCAAAAAACATAACATTTTGTTTAGTGTATGACACTAAGCGCCATCTACTATATGATATATTAATCTAAAAATATTAATACTTTCCATACTAAACAGATGGAGTTACTGCTCTTCATATTCCACTTAATTTCAATCAAGTTTTTAAAACTAATAAAACGTCTGTTTTCCAGTCAAAACGTTGCTATGTATGGATTGAATAAGTTTAATTAATTTACATTAATTAAAGAATTTCCTTCAATGAGCTTTTGCTACGTTAAGATAACTGTTCAAAAGAAAGCCATAATTGAGGTGGCGCTACTAGAGCATAAAGTATGACCAAAAAATATTTGAGACCTTTATTTTTGTTCCTAAGGTTTCGAATACATTGTTTATGTGTTTTCATTAAGTCCTAAGTCAGTAAAGTTTTTAACTATGTTCCCTTAGCCTGCTTATCTTTTTATAAAAATTTTAGCGCTTAATTTTCTTTAAGTAGGTACTGATGGTGGAAAAAGCCATTGCTTAATGCTTTAAGTGGCTCATACATTAGAGCCATGATTCAGTGGAGTGGTTGGGTGTCTCAAATATATTAAGTGTATAATCTATGGTTGGGTGTATTAAATAAGGTTCACTATTTATATACATTTTTTAGTTTCATTACATTTTTGCTTTGTTCCTTGTGTAGCGGAACTATCCTATCCTTTAAATGTACTAAGCGTGATCATTTAATCTAATCTCATTTACGTGAATGAGTTCATAGAACTTTTAATTATAACAAGGGGACGACCAACCTTTAAAACATGTATTAAGTAATCACGTGTAGTGTTACGTCGCATTTGACTGTTTCTTTCCTTAACGAGAAATTAATAATGGAACTTGGAACGTAGAGCTTACAACTTTGGAAACAAACTACTAAAATTCATCGGATTAGACTATATTCATTTTTGGAAACTGAAAAATATAACAGGCGTGTAGCTGGTTTCAACTATAACAATTTTAAATTTTGTATTTATTAACATTTTTCGTAATACAACAGCGCAGGATGTGGATCTAAGATTTCCAAAAATTAGATTGAAGTCCCAGTAAATTCCTACTAACAAATGTTGGTATGTAAAAATTTACAAGAAAAACTAAGACAAGCTAAAAAGCCGAGCTACCAGTTCTGCAAGCAGAGTACAAAATGTAACCTATACGATTCTCATAACTACGTAATGTCAAATCTGTTATGTCAGATGAGACGGAAATTCATCTAGTTTATTTTAGTTAAATGTTTACATCGATTGTTTTATAATCACTGTAAACTAGATTATTTCGAGTCAACCAATGACTTTTGGCAAGGATTACGCCTTAAATTTTATGACCTGCCTTAACAATAATGGCCAATATTTATTTCAGACGATGACAGAAAATAGGTATGTGTAATATATTTTGTTACAAATTTATTTTTTTCTATGTTGAACTTGAACTATTATCTATTTACCTCTGCAGGAAAAGATCTCGGGAAGATGACACGTGCGAGTTTATGCCGCTATCAAAACGAATTAATAATTTGCACATCAACAACGGTCTTGTCAACACAAGTGCATCTCAATCACGAGATTCTAGTCAAGTAAATAGTATTATAATTGACAATGGCATATCATCGCCTAGTTCGTCGTCTGATTCTATGGATAATAGACGTCCCAGCTATGACCCTGGAATAAATTCGTCGCAGAGCGATTATTATTATAACAATAAATTGTTATTTGAATTACACCTTGAAAGGATACAAAGATCTGGTCAACAATTTCCATTTTAGTTTTTATATAAGGTTTGTTTTTAATGTATTCTGTAATTTAGGTAGCAATTATTTAATAAAGATGTACCATTTGAAATAAAGAAATGTTGAAAATTCTATAGATTTTATTCATTTTGTACTGGTATTCAAATGCTAATGTCAAATTCGCTAATCAATGACAATGACATGATTACTCTATGAAATTCAACCCAATATTCGTTGCCATAATAATTTCGCGTACAAAAATTGTAGGTAGGTAGGTAAACAAATTTAAAGCTCAAAAATACAACCAATCAGAAGTGTTTATACGCCACCTAGTGATATATTTGCAAAACTCATAAACAGTATGGCGTGTAGATTCTGTTTGTCATTAATGGTGAAAGGGAAGGGGACGTTANGATTACTCTATGAAATTCAACCCAATATTCGTTGCCATAATAATTTCGCGTACAAAAATTGTAGGTAGGTAGGTAAACAAATTTAAAGCTCAAAAATACAACCAATCAGAAGTGTTTATACGCCACCTAGTGATATATTTGCAAAACTCATAAACAGTATGGCGTGTAGATTCTGTTTGTCATTAATGGTGAAAGGGAAGGGGACGTTATTTTACTCTTAACTTAAAGAAAAATATGTGAATATCATTGAATGTGACGAGTGTAATGAAGTTTTATGTTTATATTTAATGTGAAGAAAGTAAACAATCCAGGTACGTTAGAAATATTTATGTTTATTTACAACGTGTGAATTTCCGTGACCTTATTTCCGAAGCGGTACTATGTTATACCGTTAGACGAAGCGCGTGGCCACCGGTAAACCGCGATTGAGTGCCGTGAGGGCCGCGTCAACCCCTCCTCTCGCGATTTCCCTGGCGGTGGAGGAAGGAGCCGGGAGCGGGAGTGATTTTGTGACGGCACATGGAGGGGATCCCGCATCTTGGTGGGGATGTGTCGCGTTCGCGTGATGGACGCTCTGTCGGTCAAAAGGAACTGGTAGGGGTGAACAACCTTCGATTTCTGTCTGGGTCCGCCCACGATCACGCGGCTACCCTGTGAAAAATGGAAAAGTGTTTTTCAGCTTTATTTTTAAATTGCGTAACGAAAAATGCGGCCATGTTTGAACATTTCTTTGTTTCGGTCGTACATTTAAAACCTTTCCCTAAACCTTCAATTGAATAATCCTTAATTATTCACAAATATTATCATATCCAAGACATACGTACTTCAACAAGTTATAAACATGTAGGTTTACAATAAAGATTCAGCAAAATCGAGGTCAATGACACTTTTGCATGACCTCACTCAAACATCCTACAAAATATGATCTGATATCTTTAAAACAGTTTAAAAATTATTAATTCTCATAATTGTTCATTTTAATATTTTTATTTCACATAATATATTGATAAAAGCCTCTTAATGGATAACTGAATAAAACTCACAGCCATTGAACCGACACCACACAGTACACAGTGCTGTGTATTGTGAAAGTATTGCGAAGAGAAAGTGAGCATCATGCTATAGATACATGTGCGCACTCACAAACTTCTAGTATGTATAACTAACTGGTCGAGCCCGTGTAAAAAACTTTCTTTAACCCACTTTCTTGGTTGACAATCACGTTTGCCTCTCACCATCGAGACAACTTAGTGTTGTACGTCTGGTGGTCGGTAGTGGTATGCCCTACCAGTGTCCCAGTGTGATCCCGTTGTGGTGTGGTGGTGGGATGTATGGACGTGGGGATAGGCGCGGGTGCGTGCTGTGACGAAACTAGGACAGTGTAGTTTTTTTTTCGAAGTCGCCGAAAAGTCGAAAGAACATGTGCGACATGCAGAACATGCCATCAAGAGATGATACATCTTGGTACTTGATTATATTTTAACTAAAATAGTACTGTTTAAGATTGACTAATTCAAAATGACATGGCAATATTTGGTAGTGGAAAAAAATGAAAATTTAAATTTAGTTTGCAAGTGTACAAGATTAGAACATGCTCATTCTTTGTTTTGAAAAAAAAANTCGAAAGAACATGTGCGACATGCAGAACATGCCATCAAGAGATGATACATCTTGGTACTTGATTATATTTTAACTAAAATAGTACTGTTTAAGATTGACTAATTCAAAATGACATGGCAATATTTGGTAGTGGAAAAAAATGAAAATTTAAATTTAGTTTGCAAGTGTACAAGATTAGAACATGCTCATTCTTTGTTTTGAAAAAAAAAAGCTATTAATAGTTAGTCAAATATTGTTATGAGAGCATACAATTTAAATTCAGTTTTAACACCATTGAGAATGTAGAAGAAGCAATCGACATTAGTCTTACAAAAATATATATTGGGTTTTAAGATAAACTTTCACTTTAGCGTAATATAAAATGCCTTACATGTCTGTTTGTTCAACTTTCTCCTTGTTTACTTATTTGTTCGTCTGATTTAGTACAAATATATTTAATAAACTTTTATTTCAAATTGAAGTAAATAAAAATAGTTTGTTCTGTTACTTTTGCAGAATAGCCTAATTAAAACTATGTTCTTTTCTTTCTTCACAGAATTGTATCTTTTAAAACGGTTAAAAATGTAAAGTAATTGGACCAACAAGCATTCTCATGTACAGCAAATTAAAATAACCACAGCCAGCTTGTAATAGAAAATAACCTATTTGTATAAAATTGGCAAATTCAGTGTAAATACAGTGAAGTAAACCTTCAATGCATGTACATTTTTGTTATAAAACATTAACCAAATGACAATCTGAAGACAACTGCCAAAAAACTTAATGATGTGATGTATAGGCATTTTTGACCTTAAATAAGTAATTTATTGGATTTTTTTGTTTGTTAAATAATTCCAACAGCACATAAAGACTTCGAGTTTTAAATGATATTTTTTATTTATTCATATTGAAATTATACTAAATTTGATACTGAAATTTACCACATTATGAGCCATAGATCTATATATCTATACTAATATATAAATATACAGTGGTTTTTATGGATGTTCCATTATAACTACTGAACCATGCATTCCATTGACTTGAAACTTGGTATCCGTGTAGAAAATACATGTACTTAATGTATAGGCTAATATTTATATGAGTGTTGGACTCCCTACACCAGTTGCGGTGGTGTTAATGATGAGAATCTTTGTGGGGGTGAGAAATAATAATGTTAATTTTAAATGCCCAGTAAAGCGGACGGGTACAGCTAGTTTATTCTAAGTTTAAATCTATGAATTTGTCAAGCAAAACCTTTTTACGAAAATTTCACTGATTGAGGAGTTTGAAGTTTCCCATAGCTATAGTAGATAGATAATATAAAGAAGGAGCGCAGAATGCATTTTTTTTTTAATTATGCATAAAACATTTACACATGTTTTTAACAGACACACACACATGCATATAAACTATTTTGTTTATTGTTCAAGTTTGTGGTCTAATGGAAAATAGATTCATATTGTTTGTCTATAGTGTAGCCTTGATAATAGAATCATAATAATGCTCAAACTTATAATTTAAATTAATTGTGATCATATTTTGACCACTGGGCGACCCCTGGTTAATCAAAATAAACCTCTTTTCTGATCAATAAATAACAGCTGAGTTCAAATACAATTACATAATAGGTTGGGGAAAAAGTTTCTTCGCATTAATTAAGAAAATTCCCAACATTTTTTAATATAGTTTACATTTGACTAAAGTATGTAGGTACCATTTTGTTCGATAACTTTTTGCCATCTTGTAGTTAGGGACATGATCCCATTTCTATAGAAATTTTGGGGCTTCTGATCAAAATACCGCGACAATTGGTTTTGACAGTCCTCTCGTGATTGAACCTGACACTACCTAAACAATTCTGAAAAGACCGAAACAGTTGGAAATCTGAAGGCGCAAAGGCCTAATGGTACTTTTGCTAAATTAGTTAACGAACAGTTGAAACAATGAATAAATTGGTTTATGTATGAAATTTACTAATAGTGATTTAGATTTTTTTTAACGTAACGTAAAATGGTTTTAACGTAATTTTCTACTGGTGGTAGGACCTCTTGTGAGTCCGCGCGGGTAGGTACCACCGCCCTGCCTGTTTCTGCCGTGAAGCAGCAATGCGTTTCGGCTTGAAGGGCGGGGCAGCCGTTGTAACTATACTGAGATCTTAGAACTTATATCTCAAAGTGGGTGGCGCATTTACGTTGTAGATGTCTATGGGCTACAGTAACCACTTAACATCAGGTGGGCTGTAAGCTCGTCCACCTATCATTGACATTGCTGATATTTTAGCCACATTATCATTATTATACCCGTTGTGAGACGCCCTGTATGTAAAAGTCGATGTTTTTATGTTACGAATAGATGACTACGAAACACATGATTCTTCTACGCAATTGTAACTGCGTAGGAATAGTCAAACTTGTTCGCGTAGTAATAGGCATTGGTTAACCACACCTTGCACAGGTGAACGAATATTAATTCATGACGTGTCACGAAATAAAGAATTTTTAAGGTTTATATTATTATATAGGTAGAGTAGCTTACAAACGTTGTTTGCATTTACAAAGACAAGCTCTCAGGCTAATTACTGGTAATTGGTTACCGAAGCTCATAGATATTACTGCGTGAACCGCCAGTTAGTATGAAACTTGAGGTCGAAGCAGAGTTTGTACCGTTATAGCGGTCATACTAAACTTTATTTAAGACGCTTAAGTTCTCAAAAATCCGTAGACAATTGGTCGTGCGGATCAACAATACGACCATACTTGCGAGTTGCGAGAGATTACTCTAGGCGTTTTTTTATTGCATAGATGGGTCGACCAATCCTACGGCCTACCTGTTTTTAAGTAGTTACCGGAGCCCATAGACATCTACAAAGTAAATGTCGCTACGCATCTTGAGATATGAGTTCTAATCTCTCCGTTTTTAAAGTACGTTATATATTACAAATTAGAATTGCTTTGGAAAATAAAGCAACCCTTAATTATTTCGATTTGATTTGCTTATTCTTGACTCTGGCCTAGTTTACGATTACTTGTTCCTAAAAGGACAGAAAAGGATTTGCAACGTCTCAAACAAACCCTCAGTCTGCCTCAGGTGAGATCTATCGCATCCGAAACTAGCGCCTTTTTGTGACGAGGGTTTTCAGATATTCAACTGCGTAATACTGACTGCTACTGCTCCCAACCCAAAGGTGAAAGACAGGTGATTTCATCTTTTCCGAAAAAAATGTTCAAACCAGAAGTACCTGCAACATTATTTAAATCAATTTATTTATTTATTTATTACACTTCATGTAAAATTTACATTGGCGGACTTAATGTCTAAGGCATTCTCTACCAGTCAACCAAAGGTAGTGCAGAGTGAATAGTGGTAGGTGCAATGCAATTTAGACTGAAACATATAAATTATTTCAAATATTGAAAACACTAACGTAATTGAAAAATAGAATGTAATAGGAATTTACATCAGATAAAGAAAAGAAAGAACTGGAATATATCTTTAATATATGGTACGGTTTTTTTTTATTTTTATAATTAAAAACTGCAGAATAAACGCGAAATTAAACCGTAAATATAAGTACTTTAAAATATATTTTAAGTAATAATAATTTTTTTTATTTTGAAATCTAATCAAAACACTTTTTTTATATACTCTTGATGTGTGTCATATGCGTCTAATCGTTATGTACTTAAGATTTATGTCTGTACATTGTGATGGTAAAATACAGATTTATGCTTGATTATTATAAGAAAAAATGTATGCGAATTGAAGCAAGTATACATTACTTGTAATATAATCAATACTAGTGGTCCCGCAGTAGTCGAAATTCGACTATCATTAATTGAAATTATAAGTTTGGACATTATCATGGTTCTATTGTCAATACTTCTATAATCACAGTTGTCGGCAAGGCTACACTAAAGATAAATAATATTAATCTATTCTCTACAATAGTAACAAAAGTTTGACAATAAACGCAGAGTATATGACACAACGTGGTGTGTAATGTTTTCTTTATTGACTTAATGAATTTTTAATGCATAATTAAAAAAAATATTAACTTTCTGCACTCCTTCTCTATATTCTCTAAAAGTGTGAGAAATTTCATAATCCTCCGTCTGCGCAATTTTCGTAAAAAGGGATACAAAGCTTTTGCTTCACGTATAAAGATATATATATCAACTTGAATTTATTTTTTTGCAGTGACGAAGATAGCGAGATGAATTTCGCTACGTTTGCTGCGGGGGGTGCACATTTCGTGACCACTGGAGGGCAGCTACCTGTTACGAAAATTCAACAGAATGTGTCGAACAATGGAAACTCTTTATCACAGGTAAGATTACATTATTTATATACATATATATTTTTTGTGGTGGTTTGGTGGGTGGACGAGCTCACAGCCCATCTGGTATTAAGCGGTGACCGGAGCCCATAGACATCTACGACGTAAATGCGCCACCCACGAGATATAGGTTCTAAGATCTCAGTATAGTTACAACGGTTGCCCCACCCTTCAAATCGAAATGCATTACTGCTTCGCGGCTGAAATAAGTAGGGCGGTAGTACCTACCCGTGCGGACTGACAAGACGTCCTACCTCCAGTAATAAAATTATGTCATGCTGTTTTATTTTTGATATTGTTGCACTTGGTTTAGCCAAATGTAAAGGTTAATAATAGCCTTAATCTGTTTTAAATCCTAAATGACATTGAGATACAGTAATTGTAGCGTTCACTAGCTTCAAGTTACCCTTGATAATTCAAAGCCACTGAAATTCAAATAAAATAAAATAGTTTAATATAATATGTTTATATCCTCTTCGACATCTATAAATCCAGCTCAGGTCTCTTGTTTCCGTTGGCCACTAGACACATTGCAAAGGTTGCAAAGGCTCTTTACCAGATCACCAAACGTTGACGCATCTAATGTAGGTGTGTTATAGGATGAAAACAAAAAGGATTCGCACAAAAATGTTTCATGAAATGTACATGTTTATCTTTCCATTTATTAGACATTTTTTTATCGTCGTCTTTGGCATCCGACGACATTCTGAGATGCTGCATTTTCAATGAATCTTCAATTCTATTGTTCATCACTCATGCAACGCGTGCGTTGACACAATAGTGAAAATTCTCTCACTGCGTTGACACATTAACGATTTTCTGTTGGCTAACATTGTTCAAATGAGATTTTTAAGTTAAGAACCAGACTGACTTATTGAACACATCCAATACACAGTTTTTGTGTCTGGTTTCCTTTTATATAATTTACAGGGTAGGCGTTATAAAATGGAGACCTAAGATCCTATTTCTCGTCTATCGGCTCAGACAAAAGCTTTACATTAGATTGGCCGTGGCTAAAATATATCTGAAATTAACTTACTACTGTGGTAGCAACTTCAGTAATCGATGACTTCTATTTTGATGGAATAACCTGGTGTATATGTTGTCTTTTCACGGATTTACACGTCATTACGGATCCTCCTGATCCATTACCGGTGCTTTTACCTCAAGCACCGGTCACCGTCCTCGTCGAACGCATCGCTCGCGACGAAGGGCTCGACGAGTGAATTAACCCACAGACACAGCCCACTGAGATTCTCGCCGGATCTTCTCAGTGGGTCGCGTTTCCGATCCGGTGGTAGATTCTGCGAAGCAATGCTCTCGCTAGGGCCAGTGTTAGCTAAACTTCTGGTTTAAGCCCCATGAACTCGCCTACAATAGGTAGGAAAAAAGAAAACGGATTTACGACAGCTGTGTTAATATTACGAGACGAACTTTATGTCCGATGCTTTTGTTTGGGGTGTTGCTTGCCGAGGGGAACTTAACAAAGGGTTGTTACCGTAAATGGTGTTCATTTTTTTTATATTGTAAGAATAAAGTCTGGGATATACATTCAAGTCAAGGGATTACATGATATTTTCTCATAAGCTCTCGTAATATTAAAGATTGGCTATGTCATGCCAAATGTAATCATGAGTATTTACAAATGCTTACGCTTTACTTGATGTTGTGTGGTTACCTGTAGAGACCTCAACGTGCATGCCTCCGACCGCTTTGAGACATGGCTTCGAAGTACTATAATAAAGATTTTTTTATTGCCCTTGTAGGCAGACGAGCATACGGCCCACCTAATGGTGAGTGGTTACCGTCGCCCATGGACTTCAGCAATGCCAGGGGCAGAGCCAAGCCGCTGCCTACCGCTTAATACTCTCCACAAGCCTCGTTTGAAGAAGGACATGTCATAGCGCTCGGGAAACACCGTGGAGGGGAGCTCATTCCATAGCCGAATGGTACGTGGCATAAAATACCTCTGGAAACGCACTGTGGATGACCGCAGTGGCTCCAGGTAGTATGGATGAACTCTACTCCGGTGGCGGGCGGTGCGATGGTAAAAACGAGATGCCGGTATCATCTCGCACAATTCCTCAGAGCACTCCCCATGGAACATACGGTACAGAATACAGAGGGAACCGAAGTCCCTCCGTAGACCCAGAGGTTTCAAACGATCCGTGAGAATGGGATTATCGACAATCCGAACGGGGCCCTCCTCTGTATGGAGTCAAATGGAAGAAGCTGGTATTTGGGAGCCCCGGCCCAGAGATGGGAGCAGTACTCCACGCGAGGCCGGACTTGTGCTTTATAAAGCAAAATCTTCAAGATACTTCAGGAGTTGTATATTTATTATTCGCTCCATCACTTTGGAAAGCAAGGAAGTTATCGCGATAGGCCTGTAGCTCGATGGGTCCGACCGGTCACCCTTCTTGGGGATAGGGTGGACGTGGGCGGTCTTCCATGAAGACGGAACCCTATATACCTACCATTGTGGAGAGATAGATATATGACAAAGGGAAGATCTTCCAACGAGCGGGTGACATTGCTCGGTAGACCGACAGTCCGAATGTTGTTGTTCGGATCTTGTATATATGCAAGCTTATTTTGAAAATGTCGTAAAAGAGATTCAGGCATCTGTCAAATGTCTTGCGCTGTATGATGGCTACCCGCCACACCATTCAATCTTGTAACATCCAACTGAGCAAAAATTAGACTGAAAATATTACATTGTACCAACTTTTAAGATCAATATCCATGGAATATTAGACCAAGGAACAAAGAAATAATCGATATCGACCACTTACTAATACACTCCAAAACATAACAAACAGCAAAGTTTTTAAATTGTTAAGATTTCGTATTAATAGGAAGAAAACTGGAGATAGGATTCTTAAAGTAATTTAGCTGTAGGGGTCTGAGGTATCAGTTCATTTTGGAAAAAAGGTCTTGTTCAAAAATTTTTGTGAATCCCTGGTAGACCAGAGACTGCCTTGCTGCTCGTTTTGACTAGAGTCAAAACGAGCAGCAAGGCAGACCCGGTAACTGTCAAACGGATTCATTGGGAGGATCACTGTTGCCGCCCATCACAATTTTTTTTATTGCTTAGATGGGTGTACGAGCTCACAGCCAACCTGGTGTTAAGTGGTTACTGGAGCCCATAGACAACGTAAATGCGCCACCTTCCTTGAGTTATAGTTTCTAAGGTAGTATAGTTACAACGGCTGCCCCGCCCTTCAAACCTAAACGCATTACTGCTTTACGGCAGAAATAGGCTGGGTGGTGGTACCTACCCGTGTGGGGTCACAAGAGGTCCTACCGCCAGTAATTACGCAAATTATAATTTTGCGGGTTTCATTTTTATTACACGATTTTATTCCTTCACCTTGGAAGTCAATCGTGAACATTAATTTGTCAAGTACATTTTTCATTAGAAAAATTGGTATCCACCTGCGGGATTTGAACACCGTTGCATCGCTAGATAAGATTGAAGATTGCACCGAACTTCTTATCCTTTAGGCCACGAAGTAGCGTCATTAGTAAAATGGGGAACTTAATTTTTAAGCTCTTTTATTTTCAGATGGTAGGTATGGTGGGGGGTGTCACTATGGGCGAGGGTGGCATGCAGTATGTCCGGTCGCTGGACGGCGGCACCAGCTTGCAGCCCACTCCTCAACTCATCTCCGTGCCTATAGCGTTGCCCGGAGTCAAACCTGGTACGTAATCATACTACTTGGAACATCGATTTTGTTTTGCTGCGTTTATGGACTGTAGTCTGTTCTTTAGGCTCCGGTCATTGTTCTCGCCAACCCGTCACTTGCGACGAAGGGCTCGGCGAGTAAATTAATCAACAGATACAGCCCACTGAGTTTCTCGCCGGATCTTTTCAGTGGCTTGCGTTTCCGATCCGGTGGTAGATTCTACGAAGCACTGCTCCTTGCTAGGGTTAATGTTAGCAACGTCGTCAGGTTTGAGCCCCGTGAGCTCACATACTTGTTATAGTTACGCCGAAATGGCCTCTCAAAGTCATCAGGTTAAGTAGGACAATGATTTTTATGATTTTTAACTAATTTTAAGATTTTGTCGGTTTATTTAATTCAGGTTTTTTTCAAACTACTTAATACTACTACTACTACTACTACTACTACTACTACTACTAGCTTGTACTTTATTTAGTTTTGTGGGGGACAGTGAAAGGGATTGTTCATGAAGTCTTAATAGTAATGGATATCATAAATGAAAAACAACATTGGTTGATGGAACTAATCTATACATATACATAAAATTGGAGTGTCTGTTTGTAATATTGAAATAACCGTTTTTTACTACATGCATATGAATATATATACGGTACACACACCAAAATAACATTTTTTACAATTTTTGTCTGTCTGTCTGTTTGTGTGTTCCGGCTAATCTCTGGAAGGGTGGGACCGATTTAGATAGGACGTTCACCGATAAGTAGCTGATGATATAAGGAGTAACTTAGGCTACTTTTTTTAGACTAGCTTCGCCTCGCGGCGTCACCCGCAGTTATTGTGGTACCGCGCGCAACATGGCGGGACTCGCCTATCAATAATAAAATTTAATGTTTCCGAGGCGAAGCGAGGGCGGGTCGCTAGTTTTAAATATTTATGTTATTATTCATAATGAGTTGTCTGAACTTGATATAAACCTGTTATAAGAACACTGTCAAAGTGTTGTTGAAAACAAAAATAAGGTTCTTAAAACTCTTTTTGAATAAGACCATTAGTGTTTTAGTAAGTTTATATGGTGCGATGAACAAACTAAAGCGATTATTATAAAACAACCACTTAGTATATAAAAGTCAATGACAGTAAGGTGTGATATTATTACATAGAAGATGCCTTTATCCTTTCAGGTGATCCGCAACCAACGGTGCAAATACAGGTGCTCAATCCGAATCTACTACAAACTCAGCAACAACCGAAATATCATATGCAAATACCCATACAGGGATTACAGAATGGTAATAAGTGCTTATATTATTTTGTAGGCTTTTATTTGTTGCTTTTCTCCTCACCCATTTCATTCACTTTTTTCATCATTGTTCATGTATCAAACATTGACAGTAGACTTTTTCATACCTTAAAAAAAAATTGAATACGTTCACACTTTCCAATAAAAGTATTGTAGAATATGAAAAGCTCCCAAGTACAGGATTATGTATGGGGAGTTACATCCTATTTTTCTGTGATCGTTTTCAAGGTGCTGTTTTGACCTTGGCGTATTCACCGGAAACTAACGACGCTGGCACCTTACAGCTTGTCGGACAGAATTCATTAGGAGAAGGTAATATCTAAAAGCACATGCGAAATTAGTTAATAGAAGGAATAAAGTATACAGATTATATTTTGGTACATACAATTCAAATTTGCTTTTGAAGTTACAGTAAACACAATTTTTTACCAATCATACATCACATAACCCATTCATTTAACGCATATCATTCATACGATTCATATAAACAGCCGCTTTAAAAAGCTTCATTTTGAATTTTCTCAACATAAATAGTGTAATTATCAAAGATATTTTCCCTCTAACATTACAGCATTGAAATAAATATATTTTTTTAATTATAATTAAGTTAAATGCATGTGACTAGGAGATGTATGAAAATGGTAGTGCAAGGGGGAAGAAGTCGACCAAAGAAGACATGGATGTGTGAATGATGATATGAGTGAGTGTTGAGATGACAGCTGATAGAAGAGAATGGAAGAGAAAAATTAGCTGTGGGACCTCCACCTAGTGGGATAAGGTGGAGAAAAAGAAGAAGAATTAAGTTAAAAATACAGAGAAATAATAAATGAAAATTCATGCCGGATGCAATAATTCAATATAATATTATATATTTCTAATTTGCCAAGTAAAGATATAACAGGCAGACATTTTACAGGGCTCCAAGTATTAACCGCTCTCTCGCCAGATCTGCAAGTTATGCAGCCTTCACAAACTCGAACACATGACAGTGAACATAACCAGCCTACTATGCATCAGGTATGTTAAAATATTACTTATCCGGGCAGTTGGCATTTGTACTTAGAGTACAGTTTGATTCATTTTAGTATACTTTATTTATTATAAAAAAAAAGAACATAATATTCCTAACCTAAAAGTACATGTTATTATCCACAACATGCTTCGTCAGATTACAGAAATAGAGTTATCAGCAACATGCTTCGTCAAAAAGTACAATACTTACTTTTAGCTACAAGCGTCGTCATTTGATTAATTGTATTAAAATCTCTTCAATATCAAGTATTTCCATTACACACACAGACACTTTTACATAAGAAAAGGGTGATGGTATTAAATATTACTGGTAGTAGGACTTCTTGTGAGACCACACGGGTAGGTGCCACCACACTGCCCATTTCTACCGTGAAGCAGTAATGCATTTCGGTATGAAGGTTGGGGCAGATGTTGTACTGTTAAAAGTGAGACCTTACAACTTATGTCTCGAGTTGGGTGACGGCATTTACGTTGTAGATGTCTATGGGCCGGTAACCACTTAAAATCAGGTGGGCCCTGAGCTTGTCCACCCATCTAAACAATAAAAAAAAATATATATGTGTATATATGTTTCTCTTGTAACAAATTCAAATCCAAACAATGACTGTACATTCATACAAGCGACCGTTGTGTTTGTATCATCCACGTAAAAGCTCAGAATATTCCCTATACAACAAGCTAATATTATTTTTCTACTTACAGGTATTCATAACACCGAACCAACAGATTATTATAAATGGTCCGGATAAAGCTTTGAACAACAACACAGACAACAATAATCCGAACATCACTAATATTACCATCAAAGAGGAATGTGAAGAAAACATTGATGATGTTAGTAAATCAATTCATTATTATTATTATTCTGGGTCTAGGGAAGTTGTAGTGCTTCTATCAAGAATAGAAGCTATATTTAGATAACCGTTCCCAAAATTATAACACTATTAATAATTACTCCCGGGGTGTTAAAACGAATATACTTTATTGGGTCTAGTACAGAGTTTTCTAAATATCACTTTTTGTTAAAAATATTGAAGAACTACATCAATCTGAAAAATAATCAGTTCATTTACAGATTGTAGAGCATATTGCACAACACAGGGAAACACAAATTTTTTTTTTTTTGCTTAAGTCATAATGACTTCCCATTTAAAAAGTGAAACATAAAATAATAAATAGGCATTATCTGCATCTTTAAAGCGATACTTGTTTTAATATAGTGAATTTTGTATTCCGTTAAATGTAATCAGTTTGATTTTAATTAATTACTAAAAATTACAAAATTAAAAGATATATTTTATTTTAGGAAAGTTCACAAGGGACTGAGACAAGTGACAGTATGTCATATCCATCGAACCCCAGTGATGAGGCGCTGCTCATAAAGTACCTCAACCAATTTCCGCAGGTATGTATGTATCTGATTAGTATGGAAACATTGTAAATAAAGTACAACTCTTTAACTGCTGTATTCGTGAAAAAGTCTCAGAAACGACATAATCTCTATATATAAAAATGAATTGCTGTTCGTTAGTCTCGCTAAAACTCGAGAACGGCTGAACCGATTTGGCTAATTTTGCTCTTGAACTATTTGTGTAAGTCTAGAGAAGGTTTAAAAGGTAGATAAATATGAAAATGCTCTGAATTAAATAAAAATAACAATTTTGTTTTTCCTTTGATGTGTCCCCCGTCGGACCGGTTCCTTTTGTTTGTTTTAAGTTTATTTTATAGAAAAGTTTAGGTCTTTTATTTATCGATTGAGGCACTACGAAGACTGCCGGGTCAGCTAGTCATTGATAGATTTTTGCTAAAAGTTTCATTTTGATTTTTTTAAAAAAACGACACTATGTCGAAATTCGTCGCGTCAATTTAATAAACTTAATAATGTTGTTTTCAGGAAAAACAATCATTGCCTGCTTCTCTACAACAGTTCTTAAGGCTGAAACATACTGAGGCAAAAAAGCAGATGATCGAAGTTGAAGTTCCACCAGAGCACGACAAAACAGTCGAGGCCGTCGCTGAAGCCATTCTCAGTGAAGGTACACGGTATTAGAATTAATCCAGTCGTGCTATTGAAGTAAAAATTAATTTAAGGTCAACCAACATGCATCGATTTTTACCCAATCCACCATTGTAACCTCCTGTGCATTATTCAGTTACATTTTACAGTAATAACAGTTTTTACAGTAACAACATTCAAATTATGTTGGAATATATAATATCGGTTCTTCGTTTTTAATGGCAATTAAAAAACAAACAATAGTAATATTAGCTGCAGAAAAGCAAATAAAGGGTTTTGCATTAGGGACGCTCGAACTTTGACAGCTCACAGCGGCCATCTTGGTAAAGCGACAGACGTCAATTTTGGCATGGACATATAGGTAGTTTTCCAATTACAGCACTAGAGCGCATTATGCGGCATAACGCGCAACGTTGAATGTTCCAACTACAGCAACGCTTCGCACAATCGAGCACTCTCAAAAGTACTGCTCTCGCGTGATACTCGCAATCGATACAGACTCAGTGACAAAAAATTTACAAGTGTTTTTTCTATAAGTTGGCATTGATCGAAATTTTGTTTATATTATCGTTAGTAATATTATATATTGTTGACAAAATTTTGTAAGGCTACGCTCGTCGTAGTTTAGTTGGAAATAATCAAAGTTAATTCAAATTGTGCTAAAAAAATAAATATAAGTATGGATGAAGGTACAAATAATTACTTTTTTTCTTATGTTCCACATTTAAAATGTGAATACAATTTTCATTTTAGAATTCGAATCTGTAAACAAATTTATTTTACAGGAATATACTTTTGTACGCATTGCAATGGCTTGATCGAAGCATCATCATGAACTTAGCGCACTCTGCCGATGCATTTGAAATCTAATTCATGTTCCAATTAACCTTCAGCATAATTCGGCATAGTGCGTCACTGAGTCGCATTATGCTCTGTAATTGGAAAACTACCATATTTAGTCGTGACGTTTCACCATGGAACGTTACGCGCTTGTCGGGCGGTATCATCGGCCGTTATTTCTTCGAAGATGCGCAAGGAGCCGCTCTCATTGTCAATGGTGATCGATATCGCATGATGTTAATAAACTTTTTGTGGCCTAGGATAGATTGTATGGATCTCACATACATGTGGTTCCAACAGGACGACGCAACTTGCCATACAAAATGGGAAACATTAAATTTATTGGATGAGAAATTCGAAAGCTTCGTCTTCTCACGTGGTGGCGACGTCTACTGGCCACCGAGATCGTGTGACTTAGCACCGCTCGACTACTTTCTGTGGGGCTACATGAAATCTCAACCATAACTCGCGCTCTGTGAAAAATTGAACCCCATTTATGCAAAGATGTCATACAAAATTGGTCCACCAGGACACACTAACCATTGTGGGGTCGCGGTGGCATTTGGCTGAAATTATATTGCATTAATAATGTCAATCTATACACTTAAATATAAAATAAAAATTGTGGCAGTATCACTTAAATAGATTTTTCTATTTTATTTTTAAGTTCGAGCTGTCTTAATGAAAATCCCTTTATCATGTTAAATCATTAGTTGAATGTCAAATAAATATAGCATTAACAATTATTTTCTTAATTCAGACGGCACTTTAAGAATAAAAAGCAAGAAAAGAAAGAAATACAAAAAGAAGCCAAGTAAACTGGCCCGACCGAAGCCAGGGCAGGTTGTCATAGCGACTGCCGCCGATGGAACACCCATATATTGCTGTCCAGAATGTCAGATGGCATACCGAGAAAAGGATGAACTGGAACAACACCTTAGTGTTCACAAGATCGAGAGGAGATTTATATGTGGAATCTGTGGCGCTGGGTAAGTTAATTAATTAAAAGGGTTAAGTAAACGTTTAAAAATTCTTTAACATAGCGATAAAAAATATAAATGATATCCAATAAACTATCTTCAGTAACAATTCTATATTCAAATGATTGCTTCCACTGTGTCCCGGCCATTACTTTTAATGAAACTGCTTCTATTATTATCCGATTATAATAATAGTACCTTGTGCTTCAACTGTATGCTGGACAAAATATGATTATTAGCCTCCTAATTCCAGTCAGGAAATCAAGGTAATAGAATTGTGACATTATGCAGTGCAAAAAATTGAATTAACCTTGAAATTTTCTTAAAATCCTGAAGTTTATAAAAGTATATTGAAAGATTCTAATACACTGATAGACACAAGTCAAGTTAAATATTTTATTTTATCAAAAATTAGGCTGACATTTATTCAATTGTAATGATTTGTAATGATCAATCACGATGAATGATGATGATGATGTTAGAAATAAATCAATAAATAGATATACGATGATCAACCAAATAAGTGGCTAGTGAGATATTAAAGTCGTAACCAAAGTTGCTACGGTAATTTATTTCAGTTTGAAACGCAAAGAGCATCTAGAGAGACACAAGCTAGGACACAACCCGGAGCGGCCCTACGTGTGCTCCGTCTGCACCAAGGGCTTCAAGCGACGGGAACATCTCAACCTCCACGCCGTGCTGCACTCAGGGGTCAAGACTGAGATATGCGGAGAATGCGGGAAAGGTACGACCAATAAATTCAGACACTGTCACAAGAAACAAGACATGTCGAATTTTGTAATTATCGGCAGTAACTCTTCACACAAAGGTTTTTTTTTGTTTTCTACCCAAGCTGATGGTCTTGAGAGACCATTTCAACGTAACCGGGCGAGTAGGTGAGGTCACAAGGCTCAAACCTGACGTTGTTGCTAACACGAACCCCAGCAATGCTATGCTTCGCAGAATGTTCGCATTTCTGACCCGACAGTAGATCGGGTCAGAAACGCGACCCACTGAGAAGACCAGGCGAGAAACTCAGTGCGCTGTGTCTGTGGGTTAATTTACTCGTCGAGCCCTTCGTCGCAAGCGACGGGTTCGACGAGAACGATGACCGGGAAGATAAAAGATAATATCAATCAGTTTGAAAACTGTATTTACTTATTTGTCGCAGGCTTCTACCGTAAGGATCACCTCCGCAAGCACACACGGTCGCACGAGAGTAAGCGAGCTCGCGAGCAAGCGGACGCGGCCACTGCTGAGAAGCCACAACCTGCCAACAACAATACTTCTAGTATACCCGAGATCACCATTCATGTTAGTAACTAAATGCACAATTTTAGTCCTAGGTCCATATCATACATAAAATAATGACTTGGAAATATATAATTTAGCCTCTAATTAGGGTTCCCTGTGCATAGAACATGCATATTTGTAAATGTATACATATGTTATAAATAGAAATATCTATCTACACTAGACAATGCAGATGTAGAACCCCTAAGCCCACACGGGTTGCTCCCATTGTCCTGGGTATGACCACGGTGTCAAATAATCATTATTCCACATGTTAATTTATATATATGTCTATATATAATACTATTATTATACAGTCTGATCAATGAAACATGAAAACAATACTGAAATTAGTCTATAAATAAAACAATATTATAATTCATACTAGCTGGGACTACGCTGTTTTAAACAGTAACCTCAGTGTTTATTAGCGCTCAGAAATTCTATAACATTACAATGCGGGAATGGACAACGCATCTTCTCTATGTTTAACTTCAAAATGATGTTACATCTTGGAATTACAAGTCGATTTTATTTCCTTAAAATAATTATCGTTTCTCATTATACTTTTCACTATTTTGTATTTAATAAAAAAAAGACAACAGTCAACTACCCGATTGAAACTTAGACTCACCATGCATATAAACGTCACAGTGTAGTGGCAGAACTTAATGTCAGACCGTATGGGTTGGTTCACAATCCCATAAGTCTACCACGATGCACTCCTGCATTCTCATTTGGATTTGAAACAATAGGATATAAATTTGACCCTCATTAGTTAAGGTTAATTTTCGCATTCACACTGTGGTGTCTCCGGCTCAAAAACTTTGCTTGAACCAATAAGAACTCTATTTTCAATGTTTTTGTTTATAGATTCCAACGAGTTCAAGCATGCAAGTGCCCATCGAGATAAACATCCCCCAGCACCTCGTGACGTCACTGGCGTCAGCGCAGCAGCAGCAGCAGCAGCAACAAGCACACGAAACACTGGACGCCCTATTGGCCCAACACACCTGACACTCTGCTTAGCGGCCGCCCACACCGACGGGGAAACTCACACCATGCCTTCGATCCCAGCCCTAGATAAATGGGTAAATGCATAGTTTTTTTTTTTGATGTTTAATAACACTCTAAAATTATCTATTTCATTTTTCAATTTAATAAATGTAATGATTTTTCCCTTTCTAAAGATTTCCGAAACAATCATACCAAGCAAAAGAATCAAAAAAAGAACGAAAATTGAGAAAAACCTCCCATTCACGAGTTCAAATATTTGGTTCCACAATCATTGAAACTAATACACTACAATTACAATATTTTTCAGAGGGAACCAATTATTTTTATTGCTTGTTGATAACGTCATGCACAAGCCATCAATCATTATACATTTAAGAAATTTGATCAAATCAATGGAAACCTAAATTTTAAGAACCTGAATTAGGCGAATAAATTAGTTAATATTCTAGATCTTGAAGGGAAATGTTAGTAGGCTACTTGATTATTAATTTCCTTTATTGCGAATAAAATTTAAATTATAAGATTGTTCTCGTAAATTTATGAATTTTTATAAGTCCCCGAATGCTTCTTCTTAAATATAGAGCAACAATGAAATAGGTATATATGGATAATGTTATTGATAGTGTATATGAAATGATTTATTTTTGTAAGAACATTGAATATTCAGTAAATTAGCTAGCTGTACAGTTTTATATACATATCACACATTTCGTGTAAAAATAGCTTCATTTCATGCGTAAAATTTAAGTTCGCAGTTGTGATGTTGGCAAAATGTAGACATAGTACACATTTAACAAGCATATTTCAGAACTACAAATAATTAGTGTAATGTAGAAAGCACTAAAGTGAATGAAAACAATATATAATTTTAAACAGGGTTCTTTGAAAAAGGGATTAGCATATTGTTCAAATGAGCAAGATATAATGGTTTGTAAATAATTTAGAATTTTGTACGGTACACTTTAGTTGACTGTGAATATATTGCAGTGTATAGTTTAGAATTTTCTTTGCGATATATCTAAATGTTTGAAATGTCGAATTGTCATACTAAATAGAGGTCATGTATATAATCTAGAACTTTTTAAAATAACTCTTAAAATATCCCTGTATCAGTTATATTATTATTGAACTAATATTTTACCTCTGTTTTTAAGTATTTGGATTACATTGTACTTTACTATGTTAATTGAAAGCAATTACCTGTATTAATGGTTTTAGAGTATATATAGATAGTATAGAATATGCGCAAAAGGTTATATTATATATGAAATATTAATTGTATTCTAATGGTAATCTGATATAACTGTTATGTTACTATCATGCAAGAATTTGTTGACTTTAGATGGTGAATGCATGAGTTCTGCCTAAGTTTTAAATAATATAGTCATTAATTGAATTCATATTCATATTCACATTCACAATATATTGCTCTACTGGATTGAAATGAAAGAAAATAAAGTATCGGTAGATATTTGAAATCTACATTTATATATTTTAAATTGAGTATTGTCAAACACAATAAATCCTGTCACTGAGACTTTGGAACCAAATGTTGAGAAAAAAATTGAGTTATTAATTGAGAATTTGAATTCATTACAAAAGCCATATGTTTTCATTTCTTATTATGGATACACTGCCTTCGTATACATATTACTAAAATATTTTGAGTTATTTGCTTTATGTATAAGGCGCGGCTAACATCAAATATTTGATTTAATAAGTGATATAAATAAAAATTGCATTGCATCGCTCGATTAGTTTTAAGCAGCGGTTCATCTATGCCGTGATATTGCTGACAATAAGCGATAGTGATCACTTACTGTCAGGTAGGCGCAGCTACCGGGGCGCAAAATTATCACAACGCTAAAGCCCCCACCTTTGTATGAGGTTAAAATCACGTTTGTCAATTGTATTGTGATATGTTCTTTGTATTCCCTTCTTACACGACATTGAAGCTACGGTTCGATCTATTTATTATTTTTAAAGACATGGAGCGATGTATGATAGAAAATAGCACGTATGTCTTTATAATAAAACTAAAAATACAATGCGGTGAATGATAATCTACCGAGCACAAGGTCCTGAATTGTATGTCTTTCTATACGGATAGTAAGGTTTGTATATTTTTTAAAATTTCAATAAAATTTAACTTTTACTCTCGTATTATGTATCGAAAGGTCATATTGTTTTTTTTTTTTAATTCAAAACGAATTTGACATTGATGTTTTGCGATATGGAGTGTAAGGAGTACCACCTCAGTGTATTAAAAAGAGTGCCCTAAAAGGGAGCCAATTAAGATGGCGCCACAGTACCATGTGAAAAGATTTAAAAAACGGAACGTGTGACGCTGTGGTAATTTTAAACAAGAAAAATCATCGCCAGTGAAATTTCACATGTGAAGAAATGATTGTGATTTTTTTTAAATTCATCCAATGAAAATGAATTAAAAGTAGCAATCATTTCCATGCCTACAGCGCATTTCACTCTGTTTAAAACTACTATATTCATATCATTTCCTCTTCCTACACTAGCGTTATTTCGGTGAGTCTTCCAACAATAATTTGCTGTTTAGTGTTTACAGATTCACACTTTTTCGACTTGTCCCCCCTATAGAAGATAGTGCTCTTTACCTCTGCCATCCATTGTTTGCAATCCTCCAAAATTTAATCAAAACAAACTTCAAGTCATTTTTAGGAGTGTATTTTTTTTTTATAATTCATAGATAAATTCTTCTTAATAAAATATGAACTTTTGGGGATTATAGAAACAGACTTACACTATAACGTTATACATTGACAGCTTTAATGTAGTTTTATTGCGAAATATGATTTTTTTAAATTCGAATGATAATTTTTTTAGAATTAGTTTTAAGTTGGGCATCGTTTTTTGATTATTTGTAACGTGTGATGATGAAAAGCTCTCGGTTTTGTAATAGATTGCTTAAAATCGCGTATTCGTTGTTGCTCGATCGATGTTCGTCAGAAACAGATGCTCGCAGTTGTTCTATATATTAATTAACATGATGATGATTTTATTAAAATTTTCAAAATACGGTAAACTCATTTACCGTATTTTGTACTGGTTCATAAACGGATTTTTTATGTATATGTATTATATATAAACGTTGAGAATGAAAATGAAACTTGTGGTGCTACAAAAAAATAGCATATTAGCTTTTTTTGGCTTCGGTTTTTTATTCTCATCACGCATTTGTATTTATAAAAATAAATATTAATAACAAAAATGAATGAAAAATGGATAAAAACAATTGTATTTTCAATTCACTAGAAGTCTATATTCATTTTTTGCTGATTTTGACAGAAATATAAAGAGGCATGTATGGATTAGTGAAGAAAATATCAAAAATAAATGCAGCATTATCTTGTTATCCTCTGGCGGGGTATATCTTCCGCTGACTAATACCGGTGTAAAACTATGTAAACTAGATTGCCAATCTTTTTTATTTCTTCATAATTTTATCACCCTACTCCAGATTCGGAAGGCTTCGTGTGGCCTAACGCGACTTGTGCGCTAAAAAACTCTTATAACTGTAAATAATAACGAATTTATTAGATTAATTCGATTGAAACGTTGGAGAGTTTTATTAATAACTAGCTGACCCGGCAGACTTCCTAGTGCCTCAATTAATAAATAAAAGACACAAACTTTTGTATAAAATAAACTTAAAACAAACAAAAAGAACCCGTTCGGCGGGGGACACATCAAAGGAAAAACAAAATTGTTATTTTTATTTAATTCCGAGCATTTTCATATTTATCTATCATTTAAACCTTCTCTGGACTTACACAAATAATTCAAGACCAAAATTAGCCAAATCGGTCGAGCCGTTCTCGAGTCTAAGCGAGACTAACGAACAGCAATTCATTTTTATATACATATATAGATTAAAAGTTTTTCTGTTTTAATTAATTTCGTGGTTACCTCGCTTGTGTAACCTTCCCATGTCGGGTCCGGCTTGTCGCATAAGAATATTGTGGCGATATTCTTATTGCGACACCTGAAATATTTGTTTTAACGGTAATCCAGATCGCGCGTCCCACTCGTCGCTCCCGCTACCGCTTATCACCGGGCACTCACCCTGAATGCGCGCCGGACTTCGAGTCTTGGTAAATGATACATCGTTCGAGCCATTTCAATATTGAAACACGGTAGTTAGTATTTTTTCATCATTACAGAATAAAGTTGGAAGTTGCGATTTTTTGTAAATTGTCTTAGAAGTAATTTGTAAAAATAATATATCGTATATCTCAAAATTTTGTATGTTTCGATTAAAAACTTCGGTCAAAAACTTTCCAATGTTAGCGAGTAGGTAAAATATATACATACATACATACATGAATACATATTTTTTAACGGTATTTTTATGAAGCGTCAAAGTTAATTTAGTAGTAGGAAGTAAGGAATAATGTATGTACCTATGTAGTGTTTTTTTTTTGTAAATCAATTCTGTGAGTTGGTTTTTTTTGGGACAAGCAGTAGTTTTGTAAGTTTCTTGTAGTGTAAACTCTTAAATTTTCGTACTGTCAATTATTATAATGAAATTAAAGCGATTTCTTCTCTGTACAGTGCAGCCATAAGGTTCAGTTCTCACTGCGCGATAATTTTTGTTTTATACCAATATCGATTCGGGAAATATAATCATTTCGAGAACCAATGAGACAGTCTTAGCGAGCTTTTAGCTTCGTACGATTTAAAAAAATTTTTTCTGACAATTCGTCTTCTCGCATTAAAACTGTATAATCTCAAAACTACTAATTTTACAGGAGAGTGTTTTAAAGGTTTAACATGTGATATTTTTAATATTAATCATCTTTGCAACATTTATTTTTTAATTTTTACCAGTTACATTAGCTGTCTATTAAAGTAAGATAAAATTATGTAATAATTTTGTTAATAGTAATCAAAACATTGGTAAACTAAAAAAAAACTAAAACTAAACTACGCTCTTTTGACAGTATATATGAGAAAAATACTGGTGATAACAAATGATTCCGCATATTAACTCAATTTCGAATATTTTAGGAAATTGTACACTTTTAATGTGAAAAGACGAATTTGCGTAGTGAAACACGAATGTGCTTCCGTCATAAGTTCAAAACGGCACGTGTCCACTATGTTTTCGGTTTTTCCGATTGTCATGTAAAATGATGGTCATGAATGCTCACATGTTGAGTGTATCGCTAGCCGATCAAACACATATTCAAAACGTAAACTTTCATCATTTCTACCTATTTCATTTTTATGTAATACGATTTTAATTAAGCCTCTGAAACAGTCCTTATTATAATAATAATAATAAAATAAGAATTCGCTTCTTGTTTGTAAAGTGTCAATCGAGTTAGACTTTTCTAATTCGGCACTTTATATGTAATTAAAAAGTTGAAACCCATGAAAAATTTCTTCTTGTACTTTAGATTAGGCAAGTTAATTTATTTATGTTTTATTACAAAACATTATTGGAGTTTTATGAAACTATATATAGTAATACATAAATAAATATATCAAAATTAAATTAAGCTCTGCAATGCGGTAATTATACAAAAAAACACTTCGTTATAAATAGTTACAAAAATAAATATTATTTCAGATATACTTAATGTAGTCAAATACACTTTTTTCAGTGTATCTGTTTTATATTTTGTTACATAGAATGTTAGTCATTACATGGGTTTCCACTAGTATTGTAAAAATATTTCTGAACATCACCATAAATCTAGTTAAAAGTATTTTTCTATTGGAGTAAAAATAATGTAATTTCGCTTTTTAGAAATTAAGCGTAAAACTTTTTGTATGAATTGTTATTTATTAAGACAACACTGCAACAATGAGATTAAAGAATAAAAATCACTGATTTTTTTAACATATGTGTTTTATTTTCCATTATTAGTTTGGCCCTGTGCAATCTAGTACACCTTGCTTTGTTCATCTCTATTCTACTCAACTAATAATAAGTCCTTTATTTATGAAATTTTCGTTTTAAAATACTAGCTATTTGATACGTAATCTATATGAGGACATCAGCACAAAAGTGGCCTAACCCACATTTTTTTATATTCAAGATTATATGAGCGTATATTGGAATTTATTTAAAATATAGTAAAATTTGATGCAAAACCGGGCTATCCATAGTTTTCATCCATAGATAACAGATTTTTGATAACATATCTGTTATCTATAGGTTAGATAACAGATAATTGTAAACATTATTTTTGCGCGAATTGTTTTTTGCTTACTCCAAATTCATGAAAATTCAAACCTAATTGCCTCCATACTAACTATGATAAGCTTAGGCCACTTTTGCTCTGACGGCCTCATATGTCTTGTTGCTTTAAAAGAATGGTGAAGGAAGATTACCCATCCGCCTATTGTTGTTTGCTTGTTTATTTTTTATTCTTAGTGTTAATTTATTATGTGTATGTAAAGTATATTGGAATATAAATCATAGTGATTTCATATTGTGTTCTAACGGTATATATCTATTTATTGTATGTATGTATTTTCTTTAATAATAATTATTAATAGTCTACCGCAACATACCTGCTGTATCAATATATCTGTCCAGAATTTCAGGTAATTAAACGGTTGCCTGGAAGAGATCGCTTTTAGCGATAAGACCGCCTATTGTACAAACGTATCTGCTTGTTGACTGTTTTCTGATGTTAATTGTGTTTTGGTGTGCAATAAAGTATCTCTCACTCTCTCTCCCTCTTTCTATCTCTTGTCTTCAAATTCTAAATCCAACTACATCCATACGAATTATATTTTAAACATATGGAGTTCTATGTTCAAACGCAGTCATTTGTTTATTGTTTAGTGTTTTGTTTTCACTACTTTTGTACCGTTTTCATCAATATTAACACGATACAAAATAATAGTGATTATGGAATAAGGGTTCCGTCGCGGTAGCAATGCCGCGCAAACGGCTCACAACTTTAATGACGTGTACGGAGTGAACACTAAAAACAAACTCACGACTCGTTATTGGTTTGAACTCTAACGACCTGAACTAAAATCAACAACGACGAATTAAAGGTAACAGTGGAAGCTAATGATACTCTTATCTACCGCAGTAGCAGCAGTTTTCAACGTTAGCATCATAACAATATTAGTCCATTGCGTCAAATTCTTACTGGTGGCAGGACCTCTTGTGAGTCCGCGCGGGTAGGTACCACCACCCCGCCTGTTTCTGCCGTGAAGCAGTAATGCGTTTCGGTTTCAAGGGTGGGGCACCTGTTGTAACTATACTTGAGACCTTAGAACTTATATCTCAAGGTGGGTGGCATATTTACGTTGTAGATGTCTATGAGCTCCAGTAACCACTTAACATAAGGTGGGCTGTGAGCTCGTCCATCCATCTAAGCAATAAAAAAAAATTGCAAGATGAAAAAAATGAGAAGTGTGTGCTGTATGAATTGAACGAACCCCAAGGTATCCCTTGCGTTCCTTAAGAGATACAGGTACGAAGGGATTATGAATCGAATTGTAACTTGCGGTGAAAAATGGATTATTTTTGTAATCATTAGCAGCCATCATGTTTTAGTATCCAGGTTACCTTGGTTTATTATCCAGGCCATGCTCTAAAACTTACCTGTAAAAAAATCATTGCCACTGTTTGGCGGCATAGTGCACCGGCACATAATTCCTCACAGCTTTTTATCATCGCACCTCCCGCCATCGGAGCAGAGTTCATCCATATTATCTGGAACCGCTGCGTTCATCGACAGTGCGTTTCCAAAGATCTTTTTTGCTACGTATCATCCGGTTTTGGAATGAACTCCCCTCCACGGTGTTTTCCGAGCGCTATGACATGTACTTACTTCTTCAAACGAGATTTGCGGAGAGTATTTAATGGTAGGCAGCGGCTTGGCTCTGTCTGCCCTGGCATTGCTGACGTCCATGAGGGACGGTGACCACTTACCATCAGGTGGGCCGTATGCTCGTCTGCCTACAAAGGCAATAAAAAAAGCTTCTAAACAAAGGGTGCCAGCGTTACTGCAAATATGTACCGTGAAGAAATGGAGATAATGGTTAAAAAGCTCACGATTCTCCAGCCAGACTTGGTTAATCACTGGTCCCGTTACTCCTACAGGACAACGCTCAACCTCATACAGCACAACAGATGGACTCTAAGATACCAGAGTTAGAATTGGAAGTTTTATCCAACGTACTGATTAGGCTTTGCGTCGACAAACTATTTCTTTTTCCAAACCTTAGACAAGTTCTTGACTGAAAAAACTCAATAAGGTAGAGACAGTACAAAATGCTTATGAAGAATTTGTTAGTTCCAATACACCTCACTTCTTCAAGAAGGCACCGTGGGTGCATATCTTGGCTAACAGTTCTTTTTTTTTAATTTCTTTATACTGCACTGCTAAAGTATTCGTGGGTTCTTACCTAATATAAATGATTTTAGCGTAGTTGTTATTTTATTACGGTAAAATTTTGCTGATAGATGCCGCGAAATCATTCTTAAGACCATTATAGAATTAATGATAGATATGATGATGATGATGATGATGAGATGATGAATTAATAGATACAATAAAATTTATATTTTTCGGAAGTTATCTTTTTAAAGTGGTGCGCACTATTGACTATGACCGCTATGGCACTTTTTGCGTCAATCTATGTGAATCTGCACAGAGTATAATAACACAAGGTGCTCAATTAATATAATTGCTGTTTCGATTTTAGCCTTCAAATTATAGATTTGTTGAGACCGATGTTAAACCCAAATATGATATACAATTAATCAGAATGGGTACCCTCCTGAAGCTTAATGAATGTCCTAGCTTATACATAAGGTTAATAATATTTTAATTGTACCGTATGATCGCTGTTACACCCAAAGACCATTATTAAAATAAACCCGATTAGTAAACAAGCAACAGGCGCCATAATAAAAAAAATATATATATACCTACTAACAACCAATTCTTATATGCGAATGGATAATTTTAAGGTTAATAATTTTAATAATTGTAATCAAAGAACAAACGATAATTTATAAATAGTTACTGACACAAGGCCGAGGATGTATATTTCAGTACAGCCGTGGACATAGTTAAGATTAAGTTGCTTATGTTTATGTTTTGAAAGTAGACTTTCACTGTTTATTGACTTAACATTTTGTTTAAGTTTTGTATAAGTTTGGCTTAATAGTAATTTAATCGGTTATATCTATACTAATATATAAATCTACAGTGGTTTTTACGGAAATTCCGTTATAACTACTGAACCATGCATCCGATTGACTTGAAACTTGGTGTCCATGTAGAAAATACATGTACTTAATGAATAGTCTAACATTTATATGAGTGTTGGGCTGCCTAATAATAATTACAATAAATAATAATGTTAATTTTAAATGCCCAGCGAAGCGGGCGAGTGCGGCTAGTCCACTAATAAAATTATACAACATCGTTCTCTCTTAGGAACAACTTTACGCTCTCTACTGTAATAAAAACACTGTAATGTGTAATAACGCTGGTTTATAGAAACCTTGATTCTTGTTAAACTGAAACAACGAAAATATGGCGAAGAAACTACTGTTTTTCTTAATCCGTATATAATATTGAGCGTTTGGACGATAAAATACTTTCGGTTGCCGTAATTCGGTCTTGAAGATTTCTGGGAATGGTTGGAGGAGAATATATGAGCACCCCCGAGCCCACTCGGTACAGGGTGAGGTATCTCCGTGCGCAGCCGCGTACCACCTCGCGCAACATGTCCGCGCACGCCGCTAACTCTCACTTCACTTATTTCACATACAACGAATCTATAAAACGCCATGAAAAACTCTATTTAGCGAAGGAAAAGGTAAGGTCGTCGATAATATTATCATTGCTCGTCGTGTTCTGGGTCTCGCGCTGTCACGCTGCACGATTCACGAATGATGGTGTGAGAGCGCGGGCCGGTAAAAATAAAGCGCCACAAACGATTGGGGTGAGGCAGAATGGCGGGGGTTGAGTGATCGCCCTACAAGGGGCCGCACCCTTTAATTCGCTGCGTTCCGGCTCGCACCTACCTGTCCGATGGGGCAATGCATTCTCCACTCGCGTCTGAACCCTCGCCGCCTTCTGACGTTGCAATGTCTCCAATCATTCCAGATACATTAAGCCGAAATGAACTTCGCTCCGTTCACGGGCCACATACCGCCTGCCTCGGCGATCCCAAATATCCACCAGTTCGCTGCAAAGTTCGGATACGAGGGTGGGGCGAGTTCTTCGGGCGGAGTGCTGCAGGAGACGCGCTTTCAATCGTCGGGCTCTGGAGGTTCAGTGCAATTTGCCGTGGCACCGAACACCAACACCGTAGCAGTGGACGGCGTCAAGTTCCGACAGGCAGAGAGTGTGGTTGTAGTCAGTAATGCCCAGCCAGTCTCTGTCGCTTTAGCGGGAATCGCGCCAATACATACTGGTATTTACTCTTCATTATTTCTGTTTTTACTATACTTGAGACCTTAGAACTTATATCTCAAGGTGGGTGGCGCATTTACGTTGTAGATGTCTATGGGCTCCAGTAACCACTTAACACCAGGTGGGCTGTGAGCTCGTCCACCCATCTAAGCAATACAAACATTAAAATAATAATAATAATTATACTACTAATAGATCTTGAAATTGTCATTATTATAAATAAAAAAAAAACATATCGAATATTTAACATTTTATTCATAGGAACGCTACTAAGCCCATTTTTCTGATAGTAATTAGAGTGTTTACGAAATAACAAAACGTATTGGATATATTATGTTTTCTTTTCAGTGAACGCCGGTGTCAAATATCAGACAATAACAGCATCGTCGTCTTCCGTAAATCTGGGTAACGTCTCGTATGGAGGCCAAACTAGTTACGTCCAAGCCGAGGTTCAACAGTTGAAGGAACAACGTCTGGACAAACGCGAATACCGTGAAGAGTTGCATCACGATTTAATGGCCACCATGATGCATCAGCATCAAGGCGAATACTACAGTAGGTTTCACAGTTTGTCTTATATATAGAATCTAAGTAATTAGGATATCGTCGCTGTCAAACCAAAATCTGCTATATGCAAAAACTCTATTTTGAGTTAACGAGTAAAAACATTTTTGTATAAAATTTTATATGAAGATGAATTTTTAAGAACTCTAATATCAAATGAAAGCTATACATAAATATTAAAGCTATAAACACATAACAGTTTTTTTTATAGATAGGGCTGTGAACTATTACGAAAAGGTTAAAAAGTAAAAATCTCAAAAAGTGCACATAGCAGATTTTGGTTTGACAACGACGATATGATGTATCGTATTGAATAGCATTGAGAAATAGTGAAGGGCTTTCTCGTCAAAATATAACAGATTACTAAATTGATGATTTTAATACTGTTGGTAGGACGTCTTGTGAGTCTGCACGGGTAGGTGCCGCCACTCTGCCTATTGCCTTAAAGCAGTAATACGTGTCGGTTTGTAGGGTGGGGCAGCCGTTGTACTGTAAAACGGAGACATTAGAACTATTAGCTCAAGGTAGGTGGTGACACTTACGTTGTAGATGTCTATAAGCTTCGGTAACCACCACCTAAGCAATAAAAAAAATGAGACAAGTTTTATTGATAATCGATACGAATTTTAAAAAACTTCTGATTTGTGGCTTCTATCCGTCGTGGACATCGGCATTAAAGCCTGCATCCTAATGGACACAGCTTTTACGGGATTTACAGGATTACAGCTAAACGCTTTTATTATTTCTTAAATCAAGTTTAACATAAGGTTCAAGAGTTTAAGAGTTAACAGTGAATGAACAACATTTGCGGTACCCTGATTGATGCCAACCAAATTTTCTTTGTATTGCCAACAATGCCAACAATACCAACAATACCAATTCCATTAGGTCTTTTTTGGATAATTGCATGATGAACGACGTTTTGCTGGGAAATTTTATTTGTATTGCCCAACAGTAACCCAACCACTACAGCAAGGAACGCAGCAATTGCTGGTCGTTCTCCACGAGCCCAAAGAAGCCGCGGCTTTGGCGCGCGCTATCAAACAGGAAGGCCGATCAGACCGCAATACGACCGCAGTCCCAGCTGAATATATCAGTAAGATTTACCTAGATTTTATAATCTGTGCATATTTTTTTTTTTTATTCTTTATTAGATCCATACACCTATTAGGTTAAGTCGGCTTTCTGTGCCTTTTTTCGATTGTAACAATTTGTTTTATTGATTTTTTTAATCTAAAATACAAGAGTATCAATTTAAAAAAAAATTTGGTTTTCTGTAAAATCGGTTTACGGACGATGGTTTTACGTGATAGCGTCAGTAGCAGAACTATTCGAACTGCTAAATCTGACGTCACCCCAGAAGAGAGATAAATGTGTCACAAGCCAACGCTTGGGCCGATCGTGCCTCTCTATTGCTTGTTTCGCGTTCTCGCTTGCACGCTTATGCTCAGGCGGAACGTGATACTTTTTCGTACGTTCATCGATTTATAAGACGTTATAACATCAAAATTGCATACAAATAGCTTAATTAATAGAACAGATATACTAATTTGAATGCACGTCAACTGTAGTCTTAGTAACTGGAAACAGAGGTAGTATGACGGGTGACGTTTTTAAGCTGCTTGCTCGTTTCCATAAAATTTTATACCGGGAAGCGTATCGCCGGTACATGACCTCACGTTTTGGGTTTGTCACGGGGCAGAATCCTAGTAAACAAATTAATTACTTTGCGTACTTCCAAGCGTTATCCGCATGCCAAGATAAAGCGTGAAGTAATTTAAAAATAATGTTACTCAGGCATTGGAGACGTAACCGATGCATCAACATGGCAGACCCTCGGCAGCGGCGTGGCGGACTACCTCTCAGCGCTACCGCTGCCCCTGCATCATTTGCTGAAATATTCAACTCCCGTGACAGATAATAAAAGGGATGATCATCCTACTGTCGTCACAGCTGTGAATCCTAGTACACTGAATCCAACGCCTATAACTTGTGTGAGTATCTTAAGAAATCGTTTTCTTGACCGCTAAAAATATCATGTAATAAAAATCAAACCCGCAAAATTATAATTTGCGTAATTACTGGTGGTAGGACCTCTTGTGAGTCTTCGCGGGTGGGTAGCACTGCCCTGCCTATTTCTGCCGTGAACCAGTAATGCGTTTCGGTTTAAAGGGTAGGGCAGCCGTTGTAACTATACTGAGACCTTGGAACTTGTATCTCAAGGTGGGTGGTACATTTGCGTTGTAGATGTCTATGGGCTCCAGTAACCACTTAACAACAGGTGGTCTATGAGCTCGTCCACCCATCTAAGCAATAAAAAAAATCAATTAATTCAGCATACAAAAACCGTGACCACAGAATTGTTGCTATGGGAAGTACCTAAATATGAGTAGGTATATCTACATAGCTGGTACCGCGGCTGATAGCTCGTACATTGGCTATCTTACCTTTCAAAATGAAAGCTTTGATTTTTCGGGTAGAAATGGCCAGATTATTTGAGTCCATCACTATCAATCTTTGTCAGATCAGTACTTATGATAGAAGTTTGTTGGAACTCGCTCGAATTCATCACAAATGGAATGACGTAAATCACACATGAAACATGAAGTCGAATTTTTTTTTATTGCCTAGTTGTGTGGACGAGCTCACAGCCCACCTGGTGTTAAGTGGTTACTGGAACTCATAGCAAATTGCATTGTATAGTATATAGTACATATTATAGTAGGTAGCATATATTAGGTATAATTAGTATAAGTATTCGCATTGTTGACCGTTGAGTAGTAACTTTTTCTGCAATTAATCTGCAATTAAAACTGTCTCAACCGCGCTTAGTATTCGCGGGGTCAGTAAATACAAAATACCTGTTACTTACGACATAATTTAAAAACTAGTTTTTTATGTATTTTAAAGCTAAATTTAATTATGATAGTAATGTTGTTAATATTTAGGTGTCTCCATCTGCCGTGAACAGTGTCGTAGTGCAAACAGCGACCATCGTGAATCAATCCCCTAATATAAACTCTGATATAAGTGTTCCTCTCGGAAGAAGGAAGAAGAAGAAAAAAATACAGAAAGAGAAGAAGCCGCGTCCGAAACCCGGAGAGATAAGACTCACTACCGCTTTAGGTATTGTTAATGATCATTCTAGAAAAATCTAGAATTAACCATTGCTTAGATGAACAAAACTCGAGCATAATTAAAATTTGTATTTTGAAAAAAATGTATTTTCTTTCGAGGTTCAATTTTAAGAAGTGGATAAAATCCAATTTTATTATTCATCAAGACTCAATCATTATTCGATCAAGAAAATAAATGATGAAAGTATAGAACGAAGGATTTTAACGTTTTTAATTTTCAAACTGAATAAATGAAGACATTAAATTATTTCGTGGTTGTGCGTTGAGTTATTAGAATGAATTGCTTTTTAGATGGGAGCACGTTATACTGTTGCCCGGAGTGCCACATGGCGTATCCTGAACGTGGTCTGTTGGAGCAGCATCTAGTGGGACACACTTTAGAGAGAAGGTATACATATCACTATTACTATTATAGTATAATACTAGCGACCTGCCCTCGCCTCGCTTCGGAAACTGTAATTTATTATTGATTTCTCCACTATTTAATGGATGTTATTATACATATAAACCTTCCTCTTCAATCACTCTATCTATTAAAAAAAACCGCATCAAAATCCGTTGCGTAGTTTTAAAGATTTAAGCATACATATTGGCAGAGAAGCCGACTTTGTTTTATTACTATGTAGTGATTACTTACTTCAAAATTGCTTGATTATCGAAGTATACCTTGCTATAAATCTTAGAACTCACATTTAAGTTAGATTGTATTATTTTTACAGACAATGTCTAACATTTCAAATAAATTACAGTGATTCGTGAAAATCGCAAAAACCATTAACTCATAAAAAAGTAAATTATTTTGCTTGATTTGACACAAATCGTTTATTCATTTCTACAGGTTTATTTGTGACATTTGTAATGCGGCATTGAAACGGAAAGATCATTTAACGAGACATAAACAATCCCATAACCCGGAGCGACCTCACGTCTGCTCCGTTTGTCTCAAAGCCTTCAAAAGAAAGGAACAGCTCACACTGCATTTTGTTATACATTCCGGAGAAAAGAGACACATCTGTAACGAATGTGGAAAAGGTCAGTGTTTCAGAAGTAAAAAAAAAACGGAGTCACTAAGAGTAATTTGTGGTTAGGAAATCTCTTCTGTAGAAAATGTGGGGATGCTTTACTGGAAGCCTAAACGGCGCTAATGATGAAAATGATTCATCATAGGCATCCTGACCACAAGTAAAAAATCCTGACCTTAGATAGTACTCAATATTAAGGGCTCGAAGAGTGAATTAACCCATAGACACAGCCCACTGAGATTCTCGCCAGATCTTTTCAGTGGGTCGCGTTTCCGATCCGGTGGTAGATTCTGCGAAGCACTGCTGTTGCTAGGGCCAGTGTTAGCAACACTCTCGGTTAGAGCTCCGTGAGCTCACCTACACGTCAAGGAGAAGCTGAAATAGCTTTTCATGGCTATCAGCATAATTAGGGGAAAAGGAAAAAAGTATTCCATCCTGCATTTTTTACCGCTTGTACCTATAGTGATAGCAGTTGTGACTTTTACTCTTGTCCTATGGAAGGAATTAACATTCTCTTTGTAGATTATAAATCTTGTACGTTCTTAGCTAAATTAGTGAATAAAGTTGATCGATTATCTCGAAAGGTTTCTACCGGAAGGATCACCTTCGTAAGCACACGCGTTCGCACATAGCGCGGCGCGTCAAGGCGGAGCTTTCCCAACAAACCGCGCCCGCCTCGTCCTGACCGCAAGAGGAGAAGAACGATCTGGTCACACTGCTTCAGGCCGCTAAGGATATTTTCTAATGTCATTTTTTTTTTATTGCTTAGATGTGTGGACGAGCTCACAGCCCACTTGGTGTTAAGTGGTTACTGGAGTTCATAGACATCTACAACGTAAATACGTCACCCACCTTGAGATATAAGTTCTAAGGTCTCAAGTATAGTTACAACGGCTGCCCCACCCTTCAAACCGAAACTCATTACTGCTTCACGGCAGAAATAGGCAGAGTGGTGGTACCTACCCGTGCGGACTCACAAGAGGTCCTATCACCAGTAAATGGCTAGGTATGATTTATTGTCGCTTATCAGTCTAACAGAGTCACCAACACTCTGTGATTATTAAACTACCTAAATGGAATGTAGGTAAGAATGCGTTATAAAATCTCACTCGTTCCAAAAATACAATTATTATACAGTATATATGATCATACAGATTTAAAGGACACAATAACAGTATTGTGATTGGCATAAATAATTTTGTCAAAATTTTTACTAAATATGAATGCGTAATTAAATTTTCTTAAGTGCTACTTCTGATTTCAAACTTACCTAATCTTTAATGGAATTTCTTTATAAACTAGTTCAAATATTTTAATTGGAAATCTTGTGTTTGGTATTCATGCCAATTAAAAAGTCATCAATAATAATAATATGACTTTATATATAGGTTAGGCGTCGAGTTATTTGTTTACATCCGGAAATTTTGAATTTTTAAGAAACATAAAATAGGTCAAGATTTTTATTAATGAGATAAACAACACAATTAATTAATTATGCCTTGCTTGGTTTTATACTGTTTAACGATTTTATAGAATCTACCTTGCTACAGACCAAAATGGCCACCACACTAAAAACGACAGCGCCAATCAATGGGTTTGACCAAGGGGAATGATGTTTAAAACGCCTCAAGGATGTATCTCTCGAAGAGCAATATTTATATTAAATATCTTTTGGGGCACATTTTTGAATTTACTATAAAATATACTAATTATAATAATAAATTCCTAATGTGAAAAAATTCGTCTTAAGATGAAGTGTTTTATACTTAAGATAATTGGCAAATTAAATTAAGAAATTACATTCGAAAACAAACGTTAATATTGTGCTTAAATTAAAAAGGAAAAAAACTGCCAAATAATATGTCACCATGATGTTATCGTTATAAAAATACTTTCTTTATATTTAAATTATGTAGTGATAAAATTAGGAGGTTTGTTTGTATGTACTCCAGATTAATCCAGGGTTTTAATATTTTATTTTTATCTGTGATTTTGTGATATTATTTTAGTTAATTTTACTTGCAACATATTAACAAATCTAAGCTCTGAAAAACGTATGTACCTACCTATCTCGAAAACATTTTTTTTTGTAAAACAAAAAATATATTATTGTCGTAATTAGGTATTTAATTTTCGTTAATAATGTGAAGAGCACAAACAGTTTTTTGATAGTGATTTAGGGTACCTATATAGTTAATGTTTCTAAATTGAAAGTAATTTAATTTTTCGCTGTGATCTTAATTTTAATATATTAATATATTGTTTATATGTTATACAAGTCTCTAAAAGAGTTGTTTGATTTGTTATAATTTAATGAATGTATTTAACTATTTTCTCCTTTATAAATAGTTTAGTAAACTTCAAACAAAAACTTAATAGGTTTTTGTAACATAGTATCTTCTCTTTCCGACAATAGAACGTCGGAAATACATTCCAAATAATAAAGTTTTTTAAATTCCACAAACTTTTGTGTATGTACGCAATTTTTATTTACTTTATAAACGCAAAATACTATAGAACTATGTACCTAACTACTATAGAACAGATACCTATTTAGTTCGGGACAGGTTGACAGATACAGCTGTCTGGACGAAAATTTTGTGACCATATTTAATTTTATGATCCACATTGCGCCATACCAGACTGGCCCACGCCATCTTAGAAAGTAGCAAGCAAGTACCTAAATAAGAAATGTTTTTAAAAGTTGAATGAATGCTAATCGAGCGCATTTTCATGATATAGGTTCGATTTTGATTAGGTTCAGGTAGCTGTTTGTGGTTTTTTTAGGAAAGAGAAAACCTGAACTAACAAAAAAAAAACAAAGTTAAATTACTTAGGTATTTAACAAAACTACCTAAAATAATAATGTTGGCAATCATCACACACTGGATGCGACTTTGTTTTACAGCGGCATGTTGAAAGTTATATAAATAAAATTAATAGTGAAATCAGAATGAAAATGAAGACCTGGTAAAAAACTAAAATCATTTAAAATCCAAGGAGCCTAAACAGTTTTGTAGACGAATTTCGTGCAGAGAAGATTGTTTGGAGCTAAAATATTATATTAAATACAAAGATAGTATGTAATCATTTTTCTCCTATTTTGTTGCATACCTAAAAAATATGGTTAGATGTAGTGAACATTGCAATGTCTCGACCTGTCGCGAATATGTAAATGGTGTTACAATATTTTTTTTTGGAATATGACTAATAAATAGATTTTGTCAAATAAATAAAAGCAGATGTAAATGTAATCGTAGAACTAAAATGAAAGAATGAAATGAAATATGTAAGATGAAATTTAAAAAAGTAACATATTTTTATAGTAGACATTAAAATATAAATAAGAACTTGATAAATTTATTTTCATGATTTTGTAACTTAATGTTTATATATCTAATAAAAATAGAAAGAAGAATCTGTAATAGGAAATTATGTAAATTTGGAATAGTGTGTATTGTGTACCATTGTTTTTATTGTATAGTAGTAGTAATATTATTACGGAATTTATGAAAACATTTCATGAACTAATCGAATTTCTCTTTATCTTAGTTATTTTGCAGTTCAACAGTTTTACTAAGTAAAATGCAATCTCACAGTTGACAAAAAATTAAACGAATTTCGACTTTTATAAAAGAAAAGAAAAAACCTTTGGATTTAGCGCCTTTTGTAATGATGGCGTCCTTCAAATGTTGCCAACGTAAGCTAAATCCACTACCGCTTTATTCAGAAAAGGTTAATTTTTATTTATTTAAAGTAGATATGTCTTTATTTTCTTTGGAATCATTGTTATACTAAATACAAAATTGTTTGTGTAAAATACCACTTGTTTTTCTTAACTGTATTTCGTTTTAGAACGTCTATTTTTATTATATAGTAATTCTATTCTATTTAATAAAGGGATATATAATCGCAGAATTTTTCTTTATGTAATGTGTAATTTTACTGACTGCATAGTTAATTATCTTAAAAAAATTCACGCCAATTACTCGTACATTATTAACTTTTGTATAATCTCATTGGTACTTCTACAAGGGGAACATTCTACTTTGGAAATTTGATTGGTCCATAGTACGTATTGTAAGAATGAATAGCATATTTCATAGTTATGCATAATCTTACCCTGAATGTTTGAAATTAGAATCCCTATGCCTAAAATTAGGATGAAATTAGTATGTAAAGCTAATTTAATACTCGGGACACATAATGTAACTAACAATTTTTACTACTTAGTAGGTAATTAGACATGAATATGAATTCTAATCATACTGTATAAATTTCATATTATTTTGTTTAACAACAATACTAAGTCTTTTAGTACTTATCAGCGGTTAGTACGTGGGTAAGTCTAATATGGATAAGAATACTAGCACTCTGTAGTTACTGTTGTTTGCAGCGTAAAATCAAGCGATCGAAAAAACCTAACAGTCTAAGAGAGCTGCACTTGCTTGAGTTTGAAACGAGACCTTACTGAAGTACCAACTAATTTACTTTAAATAAAAATTAAAAATTCTTCGTTGTTTTTAAGTAGCATTTAATTATTGTTTATGGTTCTCTCACACCCTGTATATCTGAATGTTTACAGAATATATAATATTATACTAATGCTTGCTTGTTTTTCATTTTTTTACACGTTTTCGTCTTAATCAGTGTGGCTCGGTCAAAGGGGTCCTCCAGTATTTGATTGTTCTTTCATAATAAGCATCGGTATAGGCAAACGAATTCGCGTGCCACCGTATTGTGAACAGCTTTTGATCTTGTTTAACTCTTTTAGGGCTGAGCTTATTTTTAGATATGTTGTATAAAAAATACTCAACTTAAAAAAATTAAAAAATCACAGCAAAATAATTTTAAATGGTTATTTAAAAATGTTGTTAACTTTATAAAAACATTTTTATAGCGCATACGTACGCGCGCGCGTACGGACGTATATACGTCCGTTCAGGTCGATACTTAATCAAACTGCGCAAATAGTCGGTATTCCGACGATCCGCTATCTATAAGCATTAATAGAGTCGATCTATCGACGGTTCGCGCTCGAAGGATTAAGAGCAATTTACAACTGCTTTTTTAGATCGAGCGTAAATGAATCCGCAAAAACACTAGTTGTCGAAAATACTTTATTTTTCATAATTTTACAAATAAAACACATGCGAACGATCACATACATAAATAAGTGAAAGAGGAACTTTGTACATAAAATCTTAAAAAGTTAGAGTATTATTAGTATCATCTTAAAATGTCATAAAAAATTTAATACAGAAAAATGTATACATTATTTATTTGATTAAAAACACTTTAGTGTTCAATGGTGCCTTGATTTTAATACATTTGTCACGTACCATCCAGCTTCGGAATGAACTCCGCTCCACGGCGTCTCCCGAGCGCTATGACCGGCCGTTTTTTTATTTATTGCTTAGATGGGTAGACGAGCTCACAGCCCCCCTGGTGTTAAGTGGTTACTGGAGCCCATAGACATCTACGACGTAAATGCGCCACCCACCTTGAGATATAAGTTCTAAGGTCTCAAATATAGCTACAATGCCTGCCCCCACCCTTCAAACCGATACGCATTACTGCTTCACGGCAGAGATAGCGTATATATATATAGATACTGCGGACTCACAAGAGGTCCTACCACCAGTAATATGCTTTGAGGTTTGAAGTGTGAGACAGCCGTTGCACTACACAATTGAGATTTCAACCTCATATCTCCAAATGGGAGGAGGAATGGCTTCATTGGGCACGTAACTCAGAGTAGGCAGTGAGCTTCACCCAGTAACGTAATTCATGACCCGTTATTTCCTCAATAATACATACACCAACTTATCGTATCGGATTAGCTATTATCACTGATCTGTGATATGAATTCGCTTTTATTAAGAATACAATTAATTCCATGTCGAAGTATAGAAAAATATTAAATACTATGTAGATCTGATATTCTATAAGATACATATTACATACAATATTGCTTGATTTTTAGTATCATCTGATATCGGTAATACCAATACTAACAACACACCTCGACTAATCACATTAGATTCCAAACAGTTTAAGACATATTAACTTGTACCGATGGCCCTTAACGTATTTATAAATATACTTATTAATCTTAATAGTGCTATTTTGTACAATACATGCATTTCGAAAAACGACTAATAGTTTGTGCTATTTAGTACTTAGTTAACTAAATAAATATTTTTTTATTGACTCTTTGCACGTGTTTTCGGTTGTTTTAATATGCCTATCAACATAGGCAGTATTGTTTTTAAACGCTTCTCAATTATGATTTTAATTTAAAATGTTCTATCTATGTTGTTTATAGCACTGTGTCGGTGGCGGGGTCGATGGTGACGGCGTGCCTCTCTCCGTTCTCGTTCGACATCACCATTTGATATGGCACTTTGATCTGTAGCGGCACACGCAGCTTCGAGTTGGATGGGGCCTGTTTAACAAAAATATTAAAATGTTAAGCATCTATATATTAATACGTGAAGCAAAAACTTTGTACCCCTTTTTACGAAAATTGCGCGGACGGAGGAATTTGAGGAATTGAATGAAATTTCCCACACTTATAGAGAATATAGAGAAGGAATGCAGAATGTTAATTTTTTTTTTAAATTATGCATAAAAAGTACATTAAATCAATAAAAAGAATACTACACACACTACCATATATTTGAAACACACACACATACATTTATTATTGTTCTGTATTTATTGTCAAACTTTTTTTATTACTTAAGGTCTGTGGTTAAATTGAAAATAGATTAATATTGTTTATCTTTAATATTAGGTATTTGTTTATAGTATATACATATAGTGTAAATCTGTGATTAAAGAAATATAGTTTTTGACAATAGAACCATCATAATGTATAAGCTATTAATTTCTATTAATTATAGTCGAATTTCGACTACTGGGGGACCACTAGTATTAAATATTTTTTAATTATTTTTAATTTTAATTATATTTAATAATAATTAAGTATATATAATAATAATTATATAAAATTATAATTTTAAGTATTAAGTATTTTTTGTCCATACATAATGGACTAATAGCCAGCCCAAGGTATTGATACTGCTACTTAAGGACCGGTAGGTGAGCTAAGAATTTGCTAACACTGTCCCTAGCAAGAGCAGTGCTTTGCAGAATCTACCATCGGATCGGAAACGCGACCCACTGAGGAGATCCGGCGAGAAATTCAGTGAGTCTGCGAAGCACACCTCTTGCTAGGGTTCGTGTTAGCAACGTCGTCAGGTTAGAGCCCCGTGAGCTCACCTACTAGTTTGGTGAATCTATTATAACTCCTCAAGGTAGGAAGAAAAAAAGTGTCAGTTTTGGTTCGAGAGTTGCAATATAAAGTCTCATTACTCACGTGTATGGTAATTTCCGGTTTTATTTCCTTCTTCTTTGGTATTGAGTTTATCGGATACAGACCCGGCAGACTCTTTATCTTTGGCATCACAACTAGTTTGGCTTTGGCGTGCACTTGCGTGTGTTTTTGCAGGTGGTCCTTGCGGTAGAATCCTGGAACATTATAATTGTGACGTCATTATTACGAGAACTTCATGCAATTGCAAATAGTGCATACCAGTATACATGTAATATTTGTTTAACTCGGCGGTTTACTTTTCGAGATTCTGAATTTTTTTTAATGGGATAGCCGTATAATAGGATGCCAAACAATGGGAGACTCGAATAACGGGGTACTTGTATAACAGGATACACGTATATATAATGGGATACATATATAATGGCATGCATATATAATGGCATGCATATCCAATGGCATGCATATATAATGGCATGCATATATAATGGCATGCATATATAATGGCATGCATATATAATGGCATGCATATATAATGGCATGCATATATAATGGCATGCATATATAAGGGCATACATATATAATGGGATGTAACTATACTTGAGACGCATGGCGCATTTACGTTGTGGATGTCTATGGGCTCCAGTAACCACTTAACACCAGGAGGGCTGTGAGCTCGACAAAACATCAAAGCAAAAAAAAAAAAGATATATAATGGGATACTCGTATATATAACGGGATACACATATAATGGGATACTAGATATGTGTCGTTCGTTCAATTTTAGAGATTCAGATCAGTACTGACCTGTCGACAAAATGATCCGGTTCGTACGACCCGTTCAGTTGAACGTTTGTATTACCGTTTATCACATCAATTTATGATATAATTAATATTATCAGGTTACTGGCTGGATAAAGCTTAGTATTGAATAACAGTTTAAAGGAACTGTTATATTTCGATTGTTTACGTGAGATCAAAACAGCCCAAATGCGCTATGCGTCATTACGTTATAACGAACGACTAAGCGAGACGGGCGCGGGGCGAGACCCGGCAACCCGAAATGACCCGAATGACTGTCGTATGGTTCTTTTCTTCTGATACGTAGGTTTTGTGTTAAACGAGTCGATTTAGTGAACGACTCATATTTTTTGAAGTGACCCTATCGTTCGCGCGGATTTTGAGACCCGGGTCGTTTGATTCGTTCGTTCGCGAACGACACATATCTATGGGATACTCGCATAATGTGATAACCGTATAACGGGACACACGTGTAATTAAAGCACTTACCTTTCCCACAATCGGGACAGAAGAACGATTTAATTCCGGTGTGTATGTTCAAATGTATTTTGTAATGATCTTTCCTCCTGAATGTCTTCGAACAGTATTTACAGACGTAGACGCGCCTGGGCACGGGCAGGTCGCGTTCGTCCTTGACGAGCACCACCTGGGAGCTGTCCTGGGGCCCCATGTCGACCTGATCGATACAAGTTTACTATTAGAAATAGATACATAACACTTCTGTTTATTTAGTTTTTTTCATTGCCTTGATGGGTGGACGAGACAGCCCACCTGGTGTTAAGTGGTTACCGGAGCCCATAGACATCTAGAACGTAAATGCGCCATCCACCTTGAGATATAAGTTCTGAAGCCTCAGTATAGTTACAACGGCTGCCCCACCCTTCAAACCGAAACGCATTACTGCTTCACGACAGAAATAGGCGGGGTGGTGGTACCTACCCGCGCGGATTCACAAGACGTCCTACCACCAGTAATTACGCAAATTGTAATTTTGCTGGTTTGATTTTTATTACACGATGTTATTCCTTCCCCGTGGAAGTTAATCGTGAACATTTGTTGAGTACGTATTTCATTAGAAAAATTGGCACCCGCCTGCGGGATTCGAACACCGGTGCATCGCTCCGGACGAACACGAATGCACCGGACGTCTTATCCGTTAGGCCACGACGACGACTTAAATACCCAATAATAGTTACTTATTTTTTATGAAACTTATTATTATTTCGGATTCTTTAAAACGTATCGTGATTCCTTGATCGCATTCGCTTTATAAGTGCTTATAAATTTGTTTATGACAGTTAAAGAAGAGACACTCACACATACGAATTCGTGTGGCAAAGTATTCTCTTTCTTGGCTCCCTCCGGAGTCGCCTGCTGTTGTTCCCCTTCGCTTGGACACTCGTCTTGCCCCACGGCACATTCGTGGTTGTTTAAATCAGACGCCGATGCTAGTTCTAGAAGAAAAATAATAATAATAATAATAAAAAGCAGTCTTGCTCGACAATGCCCGTATAGTTCGCCGGTTTCTCTCCCAATAGTCCCTAACGCTCCGGCCGATTGTTGCCCACCTCACCGGAGTGTGTCCTGCCGTCTTCCCAGGCGTGGTGGCAGTGTTTAATACATGATAATAATAATAAATTTTTATTTCAGAATTAAATTCCATATGAAGTGTTAGTAATACAAAACCTATCTTAAAAAAAGCAGTTCATTTTATTTATTTTACATTGACGATGGCTGGTCTTGAGCCAACATGGACTTCATTCCAGTGCCTCAGTATAGGGCAGCAATAAATCATAATAATAAATAATAGTAATTTCCTAAATAATTAATCGATTTTATTATTTAGCTAGCGGCCCGCTCCGGCTTCATTTGGGTCTTTAACAAAAGTTTTAGTAAGGATAGGTAATTATTGTTAAAAAAAAAAAAATTGCCTATCACTTGGAGATAGTGTAGCTTCCAAACAGTGAAAGAATTTTTCAAATCGGTTCAGTAGTTTCGGAGCATATTCAATACAAACAAACAAACAAATCTTTCCTCTTTATAATATTAGTATAGACTAGCGGTCCGCTCCGGCTCCGCTCGGGTTCGTAACAAAAATTTCAACGATATTTGACGTTTTTTTAATTTTATTAAATAAAAGAACACTTATTGCGGCATAACTACAATAGATATACATATTCTGTCGCGACACTTTTTGTAATTAATAATATGTTCTATAAAGTCGTAACAATTATTTTATTCTATCATCAATAGTTTTCGCAGGGCACGCGATCTAAAGAATATTTTAGGTAATTTTTTTACACCTTGGGTTACATTATTAGAGTCTTAGTAAAGATCCCTAATTTTTTTCAAAAAAGATTATATGTCTATATGTATATAAGCCTATGTCACTCGGGAATAGTGTAGCTTCCAAACAGTGAAAGAATTTTTCAAATCGGTTCAGTAGTTTTGGAGCCTATTCAATACAAACAAACAAATCTTTCCTCTTTATAATATTATTATTTTTTTAATTTTCATTTCGAAATTAATTGTATAATATTGGTGAGTATCAATAGAGAATACTGTCCTTTTCCAGTAAAGCAATTGCTGGTGTATTTGTATGGCTTAGATGAACGGTGACGTCATTGTTTATTAAATTGAACGCGTTCTTTGTACACCGTGAAATGACTCCTTTTTAAACTTCCTTGTTTCTGAATACATTTCGTTATCGCAGATGGGAATGTCATGGCTTTGAAAGGTTTTCTTTTTAATTTGCCAAATAATTTTTAGTATGATTTTCGTTATCTTACCGTACCACGGCAATTAATGATTCATCGATTTGACACGCCTGTGGTACTTTCGTATGGAGAAAAGTTGCACGTGGTCGCGATCCTCAGCAGTGAGGGAACGATGAAGAAGTAAGTGTTACCTAAAATAGTGGTAGTGGTAGGCAGCGGCTGCCCCTGGCATTGGTGAAGTGCATGGGCGACAGTAACCACTCACCATCAGGTGGGCCGTGTGCTCGTCTGCCTACTAGAGCAGTAAAAAAAAAAACATAATCTTATAGACTCATGAAGGTACCTTCGTTACAAATTGAGCACCAGAGTGATCCACCGTCGTTTATATCCTTCACATGTACATTTAGATGTATTTTGAGATGTTGCTTCCGCTTAAAGCGCCTCTGACAGATCGAGCAGATATGTTTCCGTTCGGCCTTGTACTCTGAACGTGGTATTAAAAGACTGTTATCCGTGGTCTGTAAAAAAAAAAAATCAATTGATTCATTGACTCACTCGTTGGTCCAATAGTTAGCGACCTTAATTGTTGCGCAAAGAGGGTCCTGTGTTCGATTCCCACGTCGGGCTAACATTGTGTCATAAACTTTTTACTTTTGTCTGAGTGTTTATTATAGTGGCCGGATGACCTTTTGTGTTTAATTTCCAGATATTCATATTATAATCGAGAATAAGAGAAGTATAGGGAACGTCTTATATCACTACTATTATAATAATATATACTATACACGCGTGACTATCATTAGTTCTCCATAATCCATGACCTCATCATTAAATAATTCACTCACTCATTTCATTGATTGAATGAAATTAGGCAGAAATTCACTCTCCTTTAAGATATTCCCATAAGTGAGCCGCTATTCTCTCTCTCATTCTTTCGTAAGATAAATCTATAGAAGTATACGTTTGTCTCTTTCTCAGTTTATCTTCAAATAACAAAATGTTCTACTGCTAAGTAATAGTCGCTGTATTAATACAGTCGATTTTTTTAAGGGATTTTATGACCTGGTAACTAAGACCCTTGGGTCAAATCTTATTTTAATTTTAATGAAACTTTTTTATATGAAAAATGATATTATGAAATGAAGTTGATTAATATGAAATGAAAACGAAATTAAATGAGACGAGATGATATGGGATGAAATATAATTTCAGTAAAACGGTGGTCATTTACTGAGATTTTTTCAGTGGACTTTTTGGAGGATCCCGAGAAGTTACGTTCAGCGGCTTTGTTTCATTTTCCCACATTTGTGCACTTTCACAGATATTAAACGGTTAATAAACCACAGTTATTACACATTTCAATCTGAAGAAACACTAAATAGACAAAATAAAACAAATCACACAACTTCATTTCTCGCGTTCCCACCAAAAAAGCAATACAGCCCATTCGATCTTCTGTTTCAGAGAAGGTAGTTCTTTTATAAGGCAGAATCGACTTTAACAAAATTAAGTCTTACAAAAACCTTACTAAATTATAATACTAGCACAGGCAAGAAATTGGGGGTGAGATCCGGTAGTTTACTGGGAAGGGGGCGGCAACACCAGCGGGATACGGCCCCCTCTGCGAGACCCCACACCGCAGGCTGTGCTCTAAGATTTTAGGGGTTAGGAATTTCGGCAAAATAACATTTTATACATGAATTTATTTTGGTCATTCGTTTAAAATTTCGCAGATTTTTTCATTTAACTATTTACGTGACTTGATATTTAATTGTATACCATAATAGCGAAAAAGTTTTTTATAAGTTCTAAACAAGAAAGAAAGATTTAAATTTGTGTCCATAACACAATGTTATTCACTTTTCAAGTCGACTGACTAGTTTCCTTGCAATCAGACTGGATTAAAACCTCCTTGATCGATAAATTTGATGCGATAAATGAAAAAAAAAACAACCCTTATGAACTTTACTTGACACATTGAATGTCACTTGTTACGGTCCGTAGGGCATAAAAATTTGCATGTTGTTAACTTTTTTAATGTAATAACTTTTGTATGACATATTTCAATAACTTAAGCTACGTTTATGATATTTTCATTTTGTTGTTGTTGCTGAAATCGATTTTTTTTAAATAAAAATTTCATCTAATTTCACTGCCTTATTTTATTAATTATCTTAAAATCCGAGATACACTTAACTGGTTTGCATAAAAAATTGCGATACGCGAGAACGAGGTCGAATACCGAAATCTTGATGGATCACGTTGATAATTAATTAATTAGACATTTCGTCTGTACAATAGTAGGTTCTCAGGCCAAATTTGTTCAATGAAAAAAAAATAAAAAAAGTTAATGGTTTTCGAATAAATTTTTGCAAAGTACTCACAAAGAAATTCGACTGATCGGTGTATAAGTTCTGCACAAGAGGCATCTCCTCTATCTCGTTCGCGGGCTGATTCATGTGTGTGCTCATATGCGCCATCAGCTGTTCTTCCTTATGATAGGCTAAAATGAAATACATATTTTTACGTAATTCCTTCAACCCTGAAACGGTCTTAGGTATTGAAATCGCTGGGGTCAAAAGGTAAGACCTTTGCCGAAATCGTATCGAGCGAAGCAAATAAGGGCGTGTACACATTTCTGTAATGATACTTTAATGAAATACGTACCTAACCATGAGTTAGAAATGGGATTTCTGCCGTGAAGCAGTGATGCGTTTCGGTTTGAAGGGTGGGCCAGCAGTTGTAACTATACTGAGACCTTAGAACTCGTATCTCAAGATGGGTAGCGCATTTACGTTGTAGATGTCTATAGGCTCCAGTAACCACTTAACACCAGGTGGGCTTGTGAGCTCGTTCATCCATTTAAGTAACAAAAAAAAACGCCAAAATATCAGACGGAATTTTGAAATAATTTAGACTTTAGTTAATTCATCATACAATGTTATAAATCGAAATATTAAACTTGTTCAAAACATAGAACGGATTATTCTTGGCTTGAATTTCAAACTAAAACGCCGTAATATTCTAACGAAGCTATCCGTTTCGGACACGGTCCCCAAAATCCGACGCGACCCTCCCAAAAATAAGCGAAATCCCTGGGAGCGTACCATACCCTTTCTAGTACCCCCCTTCGCAACGTGCCCATGGGGGAATCACCCCTCTCTGAATAGGGGAGGGTTCAAGCCCGGCTACGAAACCCTGTTGCTAACCCGTGTGGATACTGACGTAATTCTAAAATTGTTCTATCGATTTTGTCTGAACCAGTACTGTGGTTAGTACTCTGGATAGCTTACGTGAATATTTTTTTGCACGTTCATAATAATCGTTAAGGAGACGGCGAAAAATATTGTTTCTGTTAAAAAGGCAATTGTCATTTACGTGAGCTATTTTCTCACGGTTTCTCGGAATGTAACTATGATAGACAATATTAAAGCGTGGTTGTTTTCTATTTACAACTGTAGGTCAATGTTTTTATGAAAAGATGCTCTTTTACGGATTAGATGCGAGACTTTAACACTTAATGCGTTTAGGAAGCAGTAATTCGGATTAAGGAGAGCAGTCCTCTCCTTAACTATACTTAAATCTAGAAAAGTTTGTCGCGCAAAAATGGATGAAGCGGTTGAGAATAAAACTTCGCTTTAAAACGATTTATATCCTGATTTAAGACAAACCATACTTTGATAAGGATAAATAAATGCCGTAACCCGATTACACCAGATGCATATACCACAATTGACACATATACTAATAAATAAATTTTCAAAAGTGGTAGAAGAAACTTAACCAAAATCTGTATCGACATTTTATGTCAAAATTGAACTAATTTCCAAGACGCCTTCTGTTATTAGTCTGAATGGCATGAGCAATGCAATAATCCTCATTTAAAACAGTTTGTTCTATATATTCCGAAGTGACATCTATCAAGTAAGCAGACAATATTGCTCATGTCCTTTTGTGGGTATTTTATTTATATGGTATTTTCGATTTAATACGTATTCGCGTTTTATTCCATCGCGTTACGAAATCTACAAAATTGCAATTTTAGATTATATATTTGAAGAATTCGAATTTATCGAAATGAAACCAGATAAAATTAGATTTCATATGCTATTTTATGGATCTGATGTGATGATGTGTATCTACAAAGATGTTCTTGTATATCCTATTGTGGCGGGTAGCCATAACGCAAGATATTTGGCAGATGCCTGAATCTCGCTTACGACATTTTCAAGATAAGCTTGCATATATGCAAGTTCAGAACTTCAACATTCGTTTTTTTTTCCTACCTAAGCTGATAGCCTTGAGAGGCTATTTCAGCGTAACATTAACTAGTAAGTGAGCTCACGGGGCTCAAAACGGAGTGATACTAACACTGGCCTTAGCAAGAGCAGTGCTTCGCAGAATCTACCACCGGATCGGAAACGCGACCCACTGAGAAGATCCGGCGGGTAACTAAGTGGGCTGTGTCTATGGGTTAAACGACATTCGGATCGTCGGTCTACCGAGCAAAATAATGCAAAACGTTTGTTTGGAAAATCTTATTAACGGTCGTATTTACTACAAACTCGGTGGTGGTAACGTGTCTAAATGAAAACGCACGATTAAAACAATTTTAGCGTCCATAGGTCAGAGCAATTTCATCCTATTGCTGTTCGTAGCAAGGTTTGTATTAGCCTGAACTCAAAAACTACTTTAACAAAGACATGACGCCTTTTCGCATTAAAAGTGTACAATTTCCAAAAATATTCGGAATTGGGTTAATATGCGTAAACATTTGGTGTCACCAGTATTTTTCTCATAAATACTGTCACAAGGGCGTAGTTTAGTTTTAGTTTACCTATGTTTTGACTACTATTAACAAAATTAATACTCGTACATAATTTTATCTTACTTTAAAAGACAGATAACGTAACTGGAAAAACATAAAAAATAAATGATGCAAATATGATTAATATCAAAAATACTACATATTTAAAGCCTTTAAAACACCCTCCTGTAAAATTAGTAAGTTTTGAGATTATACAGTTTTATTGCGACAAAAACGCAATTCTTAGAAAGTCGCCCTTGAAATGTGTGGAACAAGACATTAATACTTATGATAGATAAAAGTTTATATCCGTCATGGGCATTAGGCAGCGGTGTACTGCTCCATATTCATTTTCTGATTTTTGCGATTATATCTTTGACTTGTATAAGCCTGTATAGGGAGCAAAATAGTTAGAGGCACGATTCTATATATTTTTGGATACTTAATTTTGAATGAAGCATCGAGCCACCATCGTTTTTTTGAATTGATTCATAAATTTAGAGAATTTATACATGAATTTGATTGAGATTTCTTAAATTCGACACAATGATGGATGCAACAGATGGTAATACCGTTAAATTTTACAAAAAACGCGAAATGCAAATTTTTAACTACAAAAAATAAACCGTCAAACAAAGTTGTAACATAAACAAATGCAATGACTAGTTCAAGTTCTTTAAAAGTTCTATTAATTTACGAAATAGTTTATTTTTGGCATTTTTTGTACAGTGACGTCAGAACCCTAATCCCAAATACGGGGATAGAACATAAATTTTAATAAAACAGGTATCCGAAGCCGTGTCCTAACGAAAAGGCAAGGTCGGACGTTCACTAACTACGTAATGTTTCGGCTAATCAGCGAAACACTACCTTAATCACAAAAGATAGGTACCTAAATGCTTCAACTATGAATTTTTACATTTTTTATGTTAGAGCAATGTTATGGAACCGAAATTTTATGTTTCAAAATGAGAAATCTTCTTGACTAAAAACATAAATATAATTACTTGTCCTGACTGAGCCATTCATACACGTAGAGCGGAAACAGCCCGGGCTTCAGACTTCAAATTTAGGCAGTTAATGGCTTTTATGTTGTAAATAAACATCCAGTACGGAAGGACCTTTGGAAATTTCACTCCCAAGAGACTCAACTAAGAGATGAACGGTGCTTTGGAAGCCCGTCATTTTCAAAGTAAGAAGTGCGAAATTTAATACCTATACCTAAAGTTATGTTATAACTGGTTATGTTATGGTATAGGTATTATTAATATTATTAATTATATATTAATACGTGAACCAAAAACTTTGTATCCCGTTTTACGAAAATTACGTGGACGGAGGAGTATGAAATTTTCCACACTTATACAGAATATAGAGAAGAAGTGCACAATGCTAATTTTTTTTTTTTTAAATAATGCATAAAAGGTACATTAAATCAATAAAGAAAACATTACACACACTACATACCATGTATTTGACGCACACACGCATGCATACTATTTATTGTCAAACTTTTGTTCTTGACGTCTGTGGTCAAATTGAGAATAGATTAAATATTGTTTGTCTTTATTAATATTTTAGCCTTGGTGAAATTTGTGTTACGACGATTATAGAAGTATAAAATACAATCATAATAGTGTACAAATTTACAATTCCACTTAATTATTATAGTCGAATTTCGACTACTGCGGGACCTCTAGTAAGTAAAGTTAGGCAATCCGGGGCCTTAGTAACAGAAATCGACATGCCTAATTACTTCAGTGCGCCGCGTAGGGCACCGGTGCCCTACACCCTACCTACACTAAGTATAGTAGTATAGTTCAGTATTTGTGTGAATTTAATACGCTTCGCTGTGACTATCATGGTAAATATCAGTTTCTTGAATATGCTTACTGGTGGTTTACGTTTTGTGAGTCCGCACGGGTAGGTACCATCACCCTGCCTATTTCTGCGTTGCTGCAGCAATGCGCTTCGGTTTGAAGGGCGAGGCAGCCGTTGTACTGTTAAAGACCTTACAACACATGTCTCAAGGTGGGTGGCGGCATTCACGTTGTAGATGTCTATGGGCTCCGGTAACCACTTAACATCAGGTGGGCCGTCATTCACCCATATAATCAATTTAAAAAAAAAACTCCCACTCCACCAGTCTTACATTGATAACATTATACCTGAGAACTTCCCTACGGTACAGATTCCGGGAAATCATAACTCAATGATAATAAACACAGAAACAAACTAGCAAAGTTTTCAACATCTCAATGTATAATTAATTCATAATAAAAAAAAAAATTAGCATTATGCACTCCTTCACTGTATTCTCTGTAAGTGTGGAAAATTTCATACTCCTCCGACCGCGCAATTTTCGTAAAAAGGGATAAAAAATTTTTGCTTCACGTATTAATATATAGATAACGCTTTCGATTATAAATATATCCTCGTACACTTATAGTAGATAGTTATTTTTATTGAACCTAAAAGAAATGTTTCCAAGAAATAACATACACGGCAAAACAACGTTTGCCGGGTCAGCTAGTCTGTCGTATGTATTAAATTAAGAACCTAATATTTTTAGGAGACGAAACGAAAAAATACTGCTGAGTTCCCTTAAAATTTTACTTGTAATTCTCGAACGTTTAGCGAAAGCTATTCTCGGCCCACCATAAATGTTGGGGGAGATTTTTTTTCGCAAACCCCGTTCTGTTTCGGGACATTCATGGTATTGTTATTCTTAGGGGTTTTAGAATATTTATTTTTTGTTCGATTCGTTCTATTCAGTCTGCAATATCTATATAATACGTGAAGCAAAAACTTTGTACCCCTTTTTTGAAAATTGCACGGACGGAGGAGTATGAAATTTTCCACACTTATAGAGAATATAGAGAAGAAGTGCACAATGCTAATAATTTTTTTTAAATAATGCATAAAAGATACATTAAATCAATAAAGAAAACATTACACACACTACATACCATGTATTTGATTGTATGTATTTGACGCACACATGCATGCATACTATTTATTGTCAAACTTTTGTTCTTGACGTCTGTTGTCAAATTGAGAATAGATTAAACATTGTTTGTCTTTGTTAATATTTTTTATAGCGTAGTCTTGGCGAAATTTGTGATTATAGAAGTATAAAATACAATCATAATAGTGTAAAAACTTACAATTCCAATTAATTATAGTCGAATTTCGACTACTGCGGGACCTCTAGTTATGGTAAAAATGCTATTATTCTTTACTAAATAAGGCTTACAGTTTCGCTCGTGTGGACTTCAGTTTAAATCGCGTGACCCAGAGAACCATCGTTATCAGCGTAATGAAAGGTGGTACCCTATATTCTTTAATAGGATTCAAACTATTCCCAGAAATGATTTTATTAAAATCGATTCAGCTATTTAGTACGTACGTACATGAAAACGTAACACAGAGTAATTTGCGTTTTTATACGCTAAGTAGCTTCAGACACGTTATAGTATGAAAGAAAAATATTTTAATGGCAATAATTTTCGTGAAGTCCGATTTTAACGTAACACAACCTAATTGTGCTCAATGATAATGTCTAACTGTGAAAACAGTGGTGGTTTTCCTGGTAATAGGACCTCTTGTAAGTCCGCGCGGGTAGGTACTACCACCCCGCCTATTTCTGCCGTGAAGCAGTAATGCGTTTCGGTTTGAAGAAGGGTGGGGCAGCCGTTGTAACTATACTTGAGACCTTAGAACTTATATCTCAAGGTGGGTGGCGCACTTACGTGCTAGATGTCTATGGGCTCCAGTAACCACTTATCAGCAGGTGAGCTGTGAGCTCGTCCACCCATTTAAGCAATAAAAAAAAGAAAAAAACACTTACGATAGTTTTCAATAGACTTTTTATATTAGTTTTTTTTATATATATTTTTATACAGTTTTTTTTTAAATATTAGAATCACTTTTATGTTACACTTCTTTAGTTATCCCTTTTATTTTTGCAATTCCACTAGAATCAAACGCTCTCCGCGAAATAAATGCGTAAGTTTTGAGAACAGTGACGTCACTATATTTGTGTATCAAGAGACTGATTCCATTAAAAGGACTCATAGTTCCGAGAGAGAACGTTGTTGCGCCCTAAGTTCCCGGCGCCTGGTCCTTCCACGTCCTTTACTAGTCAATAAGCCTAAGAGAATAATATGTACTGAGCATTCTCGATTCATTTCCAGAGTAAATAAATCTCCTTCGCATCTCATGATTTGGTCGTTATGGGCGGTCTACAATCGCGTGAAATACGCTTGCATAGACTAGAACCACACTAGAACCATGGTCCAAATGCGAACACATATACTATAAAATATATTGTGATAGATAGATAGATATTTTGTTCAAAAAATTTTATTGGTGAAAAGAAAATCAAAATTAATTTTCAAATTTCCCTTGTTTTTTTAATTTATTGCTTTGATTATAGAACGAGCTCACGGCTCACATCGTTTTAAGCGGTTACTCGATCAAAGACATGACAACGTCAACGCGCTTCCCATCGTCTCTATTGTGTTGTCGAAATCGATTATTTCTCGATTATTCTACTACATATATGCCATAATGTTCGTCCAAACGATAGTTTTCTAAGTCCACGCCTTGCTCTTTGATGTCTGTCGATTATAATTGAATATGCCATTTCGAAAAGGGCACATGTCGCATATTTTGTCAAATACGTTTTTTCATATAAATGTAGTTTTGAGGCTTACCTACACCCATTTTATAATAATTCCAGTAATTTTCAATTGCTAATTAACACTAAAATATATCTCAAAAGTTAATATTTTAAATTTTACACTGCTTTAGAAAATAATCAGTTTTTTTTCATTACCTGAACATTTTACATTTTCAGAGATGTGCCCTTTTCGAAATTGCATATTCAATTATTTACTGACGTCACAAGCGACGAGACAGCGTGAACTTGAAAACGTTCTAGTGAAGCCGACGTCATTATCTATGGTAGCACAGAGTAATTTTTTTTTTGTAGCGAATGTAAAAATTCCCTGAACGTAATAAAAACCCGGTTATGTTTTACCTTACACGAGGCAGTGTTTTTTTTTTCAAACAAAAAGAGGTCGCTGCGCCCCAAGGTTTCCCACCCTCCCCTATTTTTTTGTGTGTCGGTGCTCGAGAATAGTTAAATTCACACGTGCACACGGTATCGATGGGGGAAGGGAGGAAGAGAGGGGGGTCTTTGCACGAAAAATCAATTTTTTAAATAACGGTATCCGCCCATACCCTCGGGGGCATCGCCGGATGTTCTCTTCACAAAACTCTTTAGATATCACGGGCATAGATTTAAAACTTGTATCGGACAGGCATATAATTACATTAATTTACTGGTGGTACCACCACCCTGCCTATTTTTGCTGTGAAGCAGTAACGCGTTTCGGTTTGAAGGGTGGGGCAGCCGTTGTAACTATACTAAGATCTTAGAACTCACATCTCAAGGTAGGTGGCGACTTTTACGTTGGTAGATGTCTATAGGGCTCAAGTAACCGCTTAACATTAAGTGGGCCGTTACCTCATCCATCCATCTAAGCAATAAAAAATTAAAAAATACGACATCCGCTGGTGGTGAACAAAAAAACTATTTAAAACCGGTCCACTAAAATTTCTCTAATATTAATTGCTTGGTCTTTAATTTTAATACACAAATAGTACAATCACGTGTCAAGGCGAGGCGGTATAGATCCGAATTATAACGACTTGAATTAAAGAAAAGCTCTCCGAAAAAGCTCGCGGTGCAAGCTTCAGTGGGAGGTAAGGAGGCTGGTGGACCATACCTTTCCCGCACTCCGAGCAGACCTTGTCCTTCTCCATATGCGTCATGCTGTGCAGCTTGAGGTGATCTTTACGTTTGTACGTCTTGTTGCAGATGAGGCATATGAACGGCCTCTCTCCGGTTCCGATTTTGATGTAATTCTTTTCGAATATAGCATTAAAGTTTTCCTCCTTGATTTTAACCGTGGGCTGATCGTAGTTATCCTAAAAAAAAACTTCGTTTGGTAATTTAAAAAAATATTTCTAGACTAGCTGACCCGGCAGACTTCATAGTGCCTCAATCGATAAATAAAAGACCTAAACTGTTGTATAAAATAAACTTAAAACAAACAAAAGGAATCCGTCCGACGGAGGACACATCAAAGGAAAAACAAAATTGTTATTTTTATTTAATTCCGAGCATTTTCATATTTATCTACCTTTTAAACCTTCTCTGGACTTCCACAAATAATTCAAAACCAAAATTAGCCAAATCGGTCCAGCCGTTCTCGAGTTTTAGCGAGACTAACGAACAGCAATTCATTTTTATATACATAGAAGAAGAAGAAGAAGAAGAAGATAGAAGATAGAAGAAGAAGATAGATTGTTTGTTGTATAACTTTACCATACATTGCTCCCCGAACTTACATTACATTAATTACTCGATCGCGGTTTTCGTGACAAGAATAACTCGCTAAATTCACGTCTTCGTTTCTGGGATTTCGGGAAAGTTTTTTTTACTGGTATTATTACTATTAACGTCCAAATACTTAGGAAATAATTAATGATTGTACCGGTTACTAACTGTTAAAATCGATTTTAATTAAATTATAACAATGATAATTGTATTTTATATATAGTATTTATCTATTTTTAATGTCTATTTGTGAGAAATATTAAGGAAGGAAATATCTCAAATAATCACATTTATAAAAGACAAACTGGACGCCAATCATCATAACGTAAGATTTCTTATGCGTTTGAACATGTACCTACGGTTAGTTATCTTGTCAGTTATTTTAGCCCCAAATGACGTCACAGGCAATGAAGTTGTGACCAAAGTTTTGTAAAGTTTACGCGTGGAGTTTTTTTTACAGCACACTAGCTGACCCGGTAGACTTCGTAGTGCCTCAATCGATAAATAAAAGTCCTAAGCTATTGCATAAAATAAACTTAAAACAAACAAAAGGAATCCGTCCGAGGGGGGACACATCAAAGGGAAAACAAAATTATTTTTTTGTATTTAATTCCGAGCATTTTCATATTTGTCTACCTTTTAAACCTTCTCTGGACTTCCACAAATCATTCAAGAGCAAAATTAGCCAAATCGGTACAGCGTTCTCGAGTTTTAGCGAGACAAACGAACAGCAATTCATTTTTATATATGTATATAGATAGATTTACCCACTTCGCTAAGACTCACCCGGATTTCTATTTCAACGTTATCATCGTCCAGCATTTCCATGGCCTCCTGTTTGATTTTCAACATTTGCTCGCTTATATACAATTTGTTCGCTAAGTTTTTGTTGTGCGTCTGCATGTGTTTCTGTAGATGATCCTTCCGGTAGAACGCTGAAAGCGGTGAACCATCTTTAGGTGTTCGTGGCTAACGGCTGAACATCAAATGAATCAACAGGAAAATAGTATATCGACGCTTGAAAGGCAAACGTGACTAAGCGACAATAACTACTTTGTACATAAATTATGGGCAATAACCATATTCGATGCGCAAAAAAAATATATATATTTCTAGGTCTATTAAAATCATTTCAATCCTACAGCTAGATTCGTTAAAATAGAATTTTTTTCAGGTATTTCAACTTTAAATTAGTCTACTGTAAACTTCACGCATTGTCGCTTAGTCACGTTTGCCTTTCGTTTAAGCGACATCTCAGCAACTTTACAGGAGAGCCATTTACAGTTTAAAATTTGGAAAAAATACCTTAGCAAAAAACCTCTTCACCTATTTGAATTTCAATTAAAAACATCGAATTATTGTCAAATGTCGCGTATTAAGCGAAATGTCGCTTAAACCAAATCGCCTTTCACCCCTCGATATGCTCGAATTAAAAGTTTAATTCGTCACAAGCATTATCAGACACACGGGTTCGTACCAACCAACCAACCGGAGTAGAGTTCATCCATACTACCTGGAGCCAGAGTGGTCATCCACAGTGCGTTTCCAGAGGTATTTTTTGCCACGTACCATCCGACTATGGAATGAGCTCCCTCCACGGTGTTTCCCGAGCGCTATGACATGTCCTTCTTCAAACGAGGCTTGTGGAGAGTACTAAGCGGTAGGCAGCGGCTTGGCTCTGCCCCTGGCATTGCTGAAGTCCATGGGCGACAGTAACCACTCACCATCAGGTGGGCCGTATCCTAGTCTGCCAACAAGGGCAATAAAAAAAAGACATATGCCTAGTTTTGCCGTGAATTAATCAGACATTCCGGTCTAATATACCGCCCGGTAATACAATACAAGGGAGACTTCAAATTGTGTGGCGGAATCCACATTATGATGGCCATGAGCTACGGTAACCACATCCATTGGCCCACCTATTGACATCATTGACTGATTTTCTCATCTCAAATAAAAAAAAAAAACTAATTACACAGGTTTGGAACGGTAAGTTACTATCTTAAAAACGTACGAAGCCAGTTTCGCTAGCTTTCTAACTTACTAGCGTAATCATGCTCTTCTATACAACGTATCCTCTCGTATCGCTCTGACATGACAAGTGGCCTAGTGTAAACACGTAACAATGCCTCGAAGCGATCTTGAAAGTAGGAGCCGGGCTCTAAATAACCAACGTACCCGACATTTCATCGCAAATATATATTTTTTTTTATTGCTTAGGTGGGTGGACGAGCTCACAGCCCACCTCGTGTTAAGTGGTCACTGGAGCCCATAGACATCCACAACGTAAATGCGCCACCCACCTTGAGATATAAGTTCTAAGGTCTCAAGTATAGTTACATAATACGATAAAGCATTAAGAGAAATTTATCTGCAATACCAAATTCTTTCGCGTTTAATCAAACGATTATGATTCGTTTTAATTATTTTAATACTGATTCTTTATTATTTATTTTTATACTAAAAAAAATGTAAAAGATATTAAAAAAAATTAAATTCAACTAAAAAATAAAAAATAAATAATAGTTTAAAAAAACTAACGAAATACGCTTTTATAGACAAACCAACTAAAAAATAGAAAATAAATTTTAATTAAAAATTGTATAAGAAAACAACAATGGGCTGAGAGATAGAAATGGTGCCCTATCCTCGTTAGTCGATTCAGAACAATTTGTAAATGTTTTTTTATATAAAATAAATAATATTTGCATATGGCTCGCGAGCCGCAGTTTGTCGGCTCCTGGTCTAGTCGAAACTCATATTATTACACCGGATGCTAAATATGTAGAAATTATAGACAATATATCATATATTTGTTTGTTCAGGAGTTTATATTCCGTCGTTAGCAAGATATGACGTCAAAGCTTACGCGCGTCTATAGCATTTATACGAACTTTCACTTTTCTTGTGAGGGACAGAGCTCTCTCAATACTTCAAAACCTACGAAATACTTTAGAAGTATATCTTTATTTTTATAACTTACTAGCTGTATCCGTCCGCTTCGATCGGTATTTAAAATTAACAGTATTATTTTCACCCCCACAAAGATTCTCAGCATTAACGCCCCCGCAACTGGTGTAGGGAGTCCAACACTCATATAAATATTAGCCTATCCATTAAGTACATGTATTTTCTACATGGATATCAAGTTTCAAGTCAATCGGATGGATGGTTCAGTAGTTATAACGGAACATCCAAAAACCACTGTAGATTTATATATTAGTACAGACTAGTATAGATTATTTATGACGGCGTAACTGACGCCATGTTTTTTTTAAAATAATGACGTGAGCGTAGGTGACGCAACAATGGCCACTCACATTTATAGTAGAAAAGGGGGAGAGGTAGTTTGTTCATGAATTCTCGTGATAGTAAACCAATAATGTTAAGATTAAGGAAACAGCTAACTTTCACTAATATTAGTAAGTAAATAGTAGTATTGCGCCGATATAGAAGACATTTTATTCAATTCAATTCAAATTATTGCCAGAGACATGGTACATAAATAAATATATTATAAAATTTTAACATTCCAGCATGTTCTTACTTCAATAAAAAGTGTGTAAATATAAAATAAATATAAAATTCATAAATTATATTATTATAATAGTTATAAAGAATTTAATTACATTCATAATCAATTAAAATCATAAAATAATGGATCTAATCACATTTACTAATTATTATCATTTAAAATATATCGGTTTTAATTTAATTAATATATTGGTATCCCTATCGCTTATATAGCGTGTATAGGGACATGTACTAGAGCCACTATGATTATTATGAAAACTGATTTTCAATTTAGTATGGTAAGCCCGCATCCGTGCACAAACTACCGCGAGCGGCTAACCACAATGTTCGCAAGTTTGTATAGACCAGTGGTACGCAGACTCGGGATCGCGATCCCTGTGGGGGCCGCCATGTTCTTGGGGTTCGCCACTTTAAAATGTTTTTGTTCGATATAGCCGTCTCCTGTCCCCTATTTAGGGATCACTAAAAATCTTTTCTCTATTATTTTTTTAACCTATGCTTGATAACCTTGAGTGGCTATTTCAGCTTCGCCCTAACGTGTGGATGAGCTTACGGGGCTCAAACCGGAAGCGTTGCCAACACTGGCCCTAGCAAGAGCAGTGCTTCGCAGAATCTACTACCGGATCGGAAACGCGACCCACTGAGGTGATCCGGCGAGAAGTGGGCTGTTTCTATGGGTAATTTTCACTACTGAAGTGATCATATTTAAAAATTACGCACCAATGATACGACTTTTTTTTAAGCTATTTTAAAACCTGGTAACTAAGACCTTTAAGTCATGTCTTATTTTAATTTATATTCTTATTTTTATGAAAAATGATAATATGGAGTGAAATGAAATGAAATGAAGATGATAAATTTGAGACGTTATCAACTGGGATGAAATATAATCTCAGTAAAATGGTGGTCATTTACTAAGATTTTTTCAATGACTTTTTGGAGGATCCCGAGAAGTTACGATCAGCGGCTTTGTTTCATTTTCCCACATTTGTGCACTTTCACAGATACTAAACAGTTAATAAACCACCGTTATTACACATTTAAACCTGAAGATAGATTAAATAGACAAAATAAAACAAATCACACAACTTCACTCCTCGCGTTCCCGCCAAAAAGTCCAATGATATGACTATGATATATATGATACCAGACTATGCAGTAATGGTAGTGCCGTCCCTAATGTACGTTCTTTCTAAGCCACAACACTGACAAATCTCGAGCACATTAGAATAATGTAGATCAACCTACGCGCATAGTCACTTAAGCTAAAGGCACGATTTTCAAGATTCGTCGCATGCCGAATCACCTAGTCATGATTCTCGACTATCCATATTCATCAAAACTGGTCATGTCTATTTAATTTACTTTCGACTTATTGTCTTTTATAAACACACAAAAAAGAAAATGAATAAAATATGTGGTATTTTTATCTTTTTAGAATTTGAAAACCTTAATTTTAATGTAAATGTTTATTATGACAAAACGCAAATCATGTAATATAGAATCAAAATGGATGGAGTTAAAGAAATCACAAAAAAAAATTAAAACTCTCTTCTTAAAGTATGTTGCAATGTATAATACCACAGTGTGCTTAGTGCGAGTTTTTTAACGTACTCGATATCGTAAAAGTTAACTCAAATTTGTATGGAATTGTAACGCTTGCCTACGTTTGCCGCTAGGGGCGCTGTTCCAACTGCATACAAATTTAACTTTTACGCTATCGAGAACGTTAAAAAACTCGCACTAAGCACACTGGATATATAATATAACGCGGAGAGGGTTAACGTCAGGCAAGAGGCCGGCCGGTCGTAAAACTCATGCCAAATCCCTATGCAGTATGATAAGACATGCCGAGTCGACCCCACATTATGTGGGATAACGGCAAGAAGAAGGTCGTATCCATACAGTGGTATGTATAGACTAGAAAATGAACGGAATGAATGGAGTCGTTTCAATTCACTGAGAAATATGATAGTTATAAAATAACTGATTAAAGTTGCCGAATCAGTCAGACTAACAACTCGGCTGTCCAACCTCTATTGTTCACTTTTATTAAATAAAATAAGGACGTAAACTGTTTGCAAACTCCATACAGTACCCGGCAATAAATACTGCACATCGACGCTACTTAAGTGAGTTTGTCAGTCGTTGTTTAAGTGCGGTAGTGTGCGGTCCTAATTGATACCGGAGTTCTAGTGTTTCGTTTTCGCAGAAATTAGCCGATTATCTCTATGCAAAAGTCGATGTGCAATATTAATGTCGGGTACTGTACTGATTTTCTGGCTCATCATTAATGCGGTTGTCTCGTGTAGTTGTACATCGCCATCTTATATTTAATCCGTCCAGTTCCCCGTTATCCACTCATTCGTATTTCACCCGTACGCGTATTTGGTATGCTTTTTATTATGTAAAAATACTCACATTTTTTACACACAAAGCACTCTTGGCTCTTGTTGCCGGTATGTGTAGCGAAATGTATGTTCAAATGTTCTTTTCTTTTGAATCCTTTCCCGCATTCAGGACAAACGTGAGGTCTTATCTCCATGTGCTCGAGCGTGTGTCTCTCTAAATGTTCTTTGCGTTTTAACCTAAAAAAAAAAAACTAATTGAAAAAGGGCGAATATTGTATCAAACTATATTAACTATATTGTATTGTATAGAAAACAGACCATTCACTTATAATATTCCACACTGACAGCGTACGCCCGTTACGGAAGGGTCATTACTAGACGAAAAAGATACAAAAATAAATATGCATTTATCAAATTCTTGGCTTAGCAAGAAGAGTTTACGTCAGGCTGGCGACTGGTCGTAAAAGAGTAAATGAAGAACTACAGCATGGGTAGACCCGACCATTGCACAAATTTATGCCGCATAGCAGTCTTGATGTCCGGTTTGAAATCTTGGACTGTTATTAACAACACAGAAGACTTGAATAAACTTCAATCTATTTGTATAATATTTTACTTTAATCGTCCAATATTGTTCATTGTTGACGATGACTGTTCCGATCAGGACTGCGTTATCGTTAGAAAAAAAAAAACAAACAAATCAAAAACGCACCCAGTTCCGCAAATCCCGCACAGATATCTGTATTGCTTGTTATGCACTAGCAAATGTTTCTCCAACGCCTTCTTAGTGTTCGCCTTGTACGTACAATAAACGCAACCAAACTGGAAACTACCGTTGTTCCCTTTTATTATTATAGCTAATTTGTTCCGGGTCATCAAACTCTTTTTTATTTCGTATTCCATTGATGTATCTGAAATAGGATTAAAGCTGAGAACGAATGGACTAATTTACAGGTAACCGTCATAAATTTACAGGCTAATCTTCCATTAGCCTAACTAAGCTAACGAATTATCGTATTTTCTGTGTGCTTAGTGCGAGTATTTTAACGATCTCGATAGCGTAAAAGTTAACTCATATTTGTATGGGGGAACGTTTGCGTACATTTGCCGCTAGGGGCGCTGTTCCAACTGCATACAAAATTGGCTTAGCTTTTACGCTACCTATCGAGAACATTAAGAAACTCGCACCAAGCACACAGGTCCTAAAACGTTCATTCTGGTTTTTATTTATTACAGTAATGAAGATGCTGCGGTGGATGTGTGGCGTTACGCGAATAGATCGCATTCGTAATGACTGCATCCGGAGCAGCGTTGGAGTTCGTGACGTAGCAGATAAGCTGCAGGAAAGTCGTCTCTGACGATGTGGTCCTATAAGCCGCAAGTCTCCAGACTATATCGGAAATACATGTCTCAATCTTTACGTACCCGTTTAAGATCCCGCGGTTGGCCCCTTGAAACGCCGGGTGGATGTGGTAAAGGCGGATATGGAGGAGAATAACCTACCCAGAGAGAACTCAAAGACCGGGCACAGTGAAGGATTCTAAGTAGGAAAGTGGTCCCTGGCACTAGACCGGGAAAACACTAGGAATAAGAAGAAAAAGACAGACGGGTGAATAGGCTTACGGCCTACCTGGTATGAAATGATTGGCGAAATACAAAGACATCAAAACGTGAATGCCGCCACCCACCTTGAGACATATTGTCTCAATTGTATAGCATAAAAACTGTTTCGCCTTTCAAACCAGAACGCCTTACTGCTGCACGGCAGAAATAGACGGGATAGTGGTAGGTACTCGTGTGAAGTCACAAGATACCCTTCTATCTCCTTGAGAAACGAGGATGAAATTCTAATTACAGCAGAGTAACAGTTATCAACACGGAACACCTGATCGCTGCGTGGCAGAAATATACACAATAGTGGTATCAGCCGGACACTTACAGGCTAGTAGTAAAAATTTCACTAGCTAGAGTGGCTAGTATAACTTAGATTTTTAATCTATTACAAGATTATTATGATATAAATTACTTTTAAGATTTGTTAGTATTTCAATTTAACTTTTTTTTACAATTATGTTTCAAATGCTTTGCGGAATAACATTATCAAAAGTACTTAAAATCGTAAACGAACAATATTCTCATGAAACAACTTTTACGGTTTTATCTTAGTTATTTTTATTTATTATTACATTATTTCCGAAATTTCGTTTACTTTAGATGGCTTTTGGTCACGGACGAGAAAGTCGGAGTAGTGTTAAATAGGTTCGCAACAATAGGTATAAAACAATATTGTTACCTGAGTCGACTTCAAAATTATGGTATGATAAAATAATATTGTAGTTTCACGTTTCAGAATATTTTAATTTCGGGAAAAATAAAGAAAGATTAAATATGGTTTTTTCGACGCCTTCTGAATATATCTTTATATATATGTATGTCACTGAACTCCTAAACGGCTGGACCGATTTGAATGATTTTTTTGTATGCGTTTGGGTGGGCCATGGATGGTTTAGATTCACAAATCAGCCCGGCATACGGCGCTGCAGTCGGTATCTAGGTTATTTATCTATACTGCAACTAAACGGCTGTATCGACTTGAACGAATTTTTGCAGGACAAAGTCTGTCGGGTCCGCTAGTAGGTATAATATAATTTCAAAATTAATGTTTCTCACATATTCTCTGTACACAAATCTTTATCTATACTACTAATATGTAAATCTACAGTGGTTTTTACGGATGTTCCGTTATAACTACTGAACCATGCCGGATGCATGACTCGAAACTTGATATCCATGTAGAAAATACATGTAGTTAATGGATAGGCTAATATTTATATGAATGTTAGATTCCCTAATAATAATGACCATAAACAATAATGTTAATTTTAAATGCCCAGCGAAGCGGGCGAGTGCGGTTAGTAGCGTATAAAAACACTCGAAGAAAGAGAATTAAAAAGTCGTCATAAAATAAAGATGAGACGCTCGATGCACTTACGGTAGGCAGCGGCTTGGCTCTGCCCCTGGCATTGCTGAAGTTCATGGGCGACGGTAACCACTCACCATCAGGTGGACCGTATGCTCGTCTGCCTACAAGGGCATTAAAAAAAAAAAAAAACTCGCATCAAGCAGTGTGAGTTTTGATGTTCAAATTTCGCAGTCAGATGCCAATTCTTCTATTTACATACATACGTCGGAATGGCATCGTGTAAATCGATTCCACAAAAAATCTAGTGTAATTATTGGTACCATAAACAAATACCTTCATCATATATTTTTTTGCTTAGATGGGCGGACGAGCTCACGGCCCACCTGGTGTTAAGTGGTTAATGGAGCCCATCTACAACTTAAATGCCGCTACCCTTGAGACATGAGTTGTAAGTCCTCACTTTTAACAGTACAACGGCTGCCCCGCCCTTCAAACCGAAACGCATTACTGCTTCACGGCAGAAATAGGCAGGGTGGTGGTACCTACCCGTGCTGACTCACAAGACGTCCTACCACCATTTAAATAAGTTCCAGTTTTAGGTGTTCAAAAAATATACAAAAGATTCAACATTGTTTCTCTCATTTCGCTCAGGTACCAGAAATAACCAATGCTTTTACTAACTATTGTCAGAATAGTTTTAACTAGTTTTTATTGTTATTATACTTGTTCTTTTAATTTGAAATTTCAACGCGAGTAGAGGGAACATCTTTTAGGGCTCCGGACTGTTATTAACTAAAATAAAATTCATTTCAATACCTATTGTGAATTCTGCATCAATAAAAGATCTCTTTTTTTTATTGCTTAGATGGGTGGACGACCTCACAGCCCACCAGGTGTTAAGTGGTTACTGGAGCTCATAGACATCTACAACGTAAATGCGCCACCCACCTTGAGATATAAGTTCTAAGGTCTCAAGTATAGTTTCAACGGCTGCCCTACCCTTCAAACCGAAACGCATTACTGCTTCACGGCAGAAATAGGCAGGGTGGTGGTACCTACCCGCGCGGACTCACAAGAGGTCCTACCATCAGATAAACATAATCATAATAACTCTTTAAACATAATCGATGTTACTATATTATGCTTACGTGCACTGATATTTTTTTTGTGAATTTCATTAAAATAATAAGCTTAGAGCTAAGGCTAAATAGTTCTTTGAAACATAGGTACGATTGTAATCTAGTGGTGGTGATTTTTATAAAAACCTATGAAGCCATATTTTTTAAGTATATTATGAAAGAGAAGAATCTCTTGCGGCCCGCGGGGTCCCCCTCAATCGGGGCGATCATTGGTGACGTGCGACAAACCGACAAACTTTAAGAAATAAATATTGTCTTTTTTTGTCATTCGGCTATTGAACCCTAAAAAGAGAGGATATCAAACGCGTATTTACTGCTACTCGGTACTGCTTCGAAAACAGTCGACGTCACCCTAAACACGTCATTACGGATCCTCCCGATCCATTAACGGTGCTTTTAGGTACCTCAAGCACCGGTTACCGTCCTCGCCGATCCCGTCACTTGCGACGAAGGGCTCGACGAGTAAATTAACCCACAGACACAGACCACTGAGTTTCTCGCCGGATTTTCTCAGTGGCGGTAAATTCTGCGAAGCACTGTTCTTGCTAGGGCCAGCGTTAGCAACACTTCCGGTTTAAGCCCCGTGAGCTCACCTACACGTTAGGGTGAAGCTGAAATAGCCTCTCAGGCTATATGTAAGGATAAAAAAGGTACTGCTTCACCGGGACAATGGCGCAAGAAGGTAGGGCGACTGACGACCAGCCGTAAGAATATTAAGGTATTACTAGTGGTCTCGCAGTAGTCGAAATTCGACTACAATTCATTGAAATTATAAGTTTGGACATTATTATGGTTCTATTGTCTATAGACAAAAAATATTAAAGATAAACAATATTAACCAATAAACAATGTTATTATGTGTGTGTGTCAAATACATGGCAGTGTGTACTTTTTTTTAATCGATTTCATGTATAATTAATGCATAATTAAAAAAATCAGCATTCTGCACTCCTTCATATCGTCTAAAAGTGTGAATATTTCATACTCCTCCGTCCGCAAAATTTTCGTAAAAAGGGGTACAAAGATTCTGCTTCGCGTATTAATATATAGATTAGTAATTTGCATAGTAAGAACCAGTAAACCAGTACTAGAATTTACAGGATGTAACGAAATTATGTCATAATACAAACTAAGATTGAATTTCAAAATTAATCGGAATATTTATGGTACTTTTAAAACAGACGTGATATCTGAGGTATAATGGTGGGCGTTAACAATAGTTCGTTAAAATCACAACGAGAATGACCAGAATGAGACCGCCCACGAAATTATAGGAGTAACAGTATACTATTCTTTATACAAAAACGACTGCGTTACTTTGGCCTGGAAATGCCGGTTGGGGAGGTTGGTCAGCAACATAAAACTCAAAACAAAACCAGCTATCAACAATTGGGCAATTTATAAATTTCGCGTATTTCACTAGATCACAATATGGTTTATGGTACATGTTTCAATGTGACCTTCACAGTGGTATGTATATGTTAGATGATTCCCAAGATTATTACTGGTGGTAGGACCTCTTGTGAGTCCGCACGGGTAGGTACCACCACCACGGCTATTGCTGCCGTGAAGCAGTAATGCGTTTCGGTTTGAAGGGTGGAGCAGCCGTTGTAACTATACTGAGACCTTAGAACTTATATCTCAAGGTGGGTTACGCATTTACGTTCTAGATGTCTATGGGCTCCAGTAACCACTTAACACCGGGCGGGTTGCGAGCTCATCCATCCATCTAAGCAATAAAAAAAAGAAGAAAAAATATGTCTCTCCGAAAATCGTGCCAACTTAGTATTTATGTGTCTATCAACGTGCACCCTATCTATTAGCCTATGTAGGTTAGTGAGCGATCTATGTATATATTACATGCGGTGTTTTATGGGTGCGTATTCTTTATATAAATAAAAATGAATGTTTGTATGTTTGAAGTTATATTGCGTTCCTAAGTCATTTTAATCCGATTGTGATGAAACATGGTACAATTGTTTTAGTATTCATTCAGGGAAGGTTTCTGTGAGGGCAGTAGACTGAAGTAATCGATCGTTTTTATAAAAGTACCGATAGTCACATCGGAGCGACCNGTGTTTTATGGGTGCGTATTCTTTATATAAATAAAAATGAATGTTTGTATGTTTGAAGTTATATTGCGTTCCTAAGTCATTTTAATCCGATTGTGATGAAACATGGTACAATTGTTTTAGTATTCATTCAGGGAAGGTTTCTGTGAGGGCAGTAGACTGAAGTAATCGATCGTTTTTATAAAAGTACCGATAGTCACATCGGAGCGACCAACGGTTTCAGTAAGTAGCCAGAAAAGTTACTGACTTCTACAGATTATAATTTTTTCAGTTAACTTTGCAGAGGGAGTTTTTTCTGTTGGACATTTAAGATGATTTTGGACTAGCACGTGTTCGTTTAAAACTGTATGCGTTGTTTTTACAAACGTACCTAATGTATGCTATGTTCAATCTTATCTGATCGAATTTATTATTATGTAATTGTATTTTATATACTTCGCCGAGTTCAAGTTCACGCGGCATTGATCCTATTGTCGGCAATTAACCTAAGTTTTTTTACATAGTACATATTTACATCATAATATAAGTAGCGTACGAGACGTTTCAGCATATGGGTATATATTTTTCGCGATGTCATTGTAAGGCGCGGTCGAGAATAACTAATTAATATTTAAAAAAAAGCTACTTCGATTGTGGATATTCGCGTATCGATTAAGTCTACTAATATGTACGTATATTATTGTATATATTTCGTATTTTATGAATATTTAGTAGGACACCGTGTCCGATATAATTGATGATCAATAAAATCGTACTATTTACCAAACAGCTTACTGGACAAAGGTTTGTCTTTGAATATACCGATGGACATTAATTACGAATTATACCAAACATTCCCTTTATTCAATATCTTTCGCATTTAATAAATTTATTCAAGACTACGAGTATATTTTAAATGCATTGCCGATGTCAAGAACGAGTGACTTTTGATAATTAGAACGACCTTAATACTTGACCTGCGATTCTAGAATTTAGTATTTATATTTCACATTAAAACTCTTTACGCGTTCATGGCATAGTGCAAACGATATCTTGTGCTCGCTCCTTCAAAAAGTCACAGTTTCGTGTCGAGTCAAACACCACTGCATATTTAAAAAAAAAAAACACTCTATATGTTTCAGTTTTTGATAAGTCATATAAACTTACATACGCTATGTCCCTCAATGCGCAGTCAGCGGGATGTTAATAATGAATTAAAATCACTATTAAAATGAGAAACGGAAACTTTAAAGCCTGTCTAATCGTCTGTCAGTGTAAAATAAATAAATAACAAATTAAGACTTGGACCTAACGATTCAAGGATTAAGGCGGAAACTCGAATGTTTTTTTTTTAAATGTATGTAAATCAGTATATTTAAATAAAACTGAAATGCTAAGTTCACTTACCGTCGCTATTATCGTCCATGCTCCGTACTAAACTTTGTTGTTGCGTCCCTAAAATTGAAAAATTAAATTTTATAACGTACGCACACACTACCGTTAGAAGGGCTGAATATAACAAAATGAACTTGAAATAGTAATCCCTGTTCCGACCGTCAACCCGAGTAAACCAAGGACCCCTCCGCCGCGTTAGGGGCGCCTACCCTTTGTCTGCCCATACATCCCCTACAGAAGGGAGGGGGACCCCACTAATACGATAGGAGGGGTAGCGATAGCGTGCCGCAGCCTACATGTACACAAAAACTTTTACCTGGCGAACCGTGCTATGCCCAATATGAATTATATACATTAGGAATTACAATTTTATTAAAAATATTAACTACTTGTAACATATTTTACTTTTGTATTCATGTCAACTTTGGCGCCAAATTTTTGAAAACAAAACTCCGGATTTGTTGTGTTACTTTCTGGTAAAAAAAATGAACACTTCACACGTCTTTTAAATCGTATTTTATCTAAGCCATGCAAGCAATAGTTAAATAAATTGAACTTAACTTACCATGATTAGCGTGATAACATAAACAACATGAAACAGAAACACATAAATTACTACAAATCAGTCAAAACACCAAACAAATTATTAAAAAACTAAGAACGAGAACGAGAGTAAGTACAACGTGAACGAGAATGGTTTTGAGAGTTTTAAAACGTCAAATCAACAATGGAATGTCAAAATAGTGTTGCCAAGAATTCAATACATTTCAACCCATTAATGCTGGTTTGGATTTGAAGAATGAAGCAGAAAGAGTAGAATATAATATATTACTTAAGACTTTGATCTAATATGTCGAGATGATTGCGGCATATTTAATATGGTCCCCTTACTAATGGTCGCTAGCCTAAGGGGTATTCCAATTCTGCGTTACTTTAATAGATTTAAAGAGTTCTTGGGTAAGATGCCTATATTATTTTATTTGATTATTTTCCCAGCCTAATTGCTGGTAGATCAAGAGGCTATTCAAGCTCACTGAAAATATTCGTTAACACCTATCCTAGCCACAGCAGTGCTTCGCTGAATTGACTACCGGATCGAAATCATGACCCACTGAGAAAATCCGGTGCGAAACTTAGTGGGTGATATTTATAATAACAACTGGTGGGATGTGAGCTTTTTTGCCCACTTACACAGAAAAGTAAAAAACAAACAAATAAACATTGTCACAGTTGCATTAAATCAAATTATGTATTTGTTTTATTGTGTAAAATATCAATATTCACTCAAATACTAAAATGTATCGAGCAGAATTGCACTCTTATTGACAAGTTGTAACGTTTTTCTAGTACCTCAAATTCTTATTTCATAAAGATGATATAAATTCACCTCATCACCTTTTGTAAGGTTTGCGGGACTTGAAATAATATTAGCTATTCCTTCAGTGTGCACAATACTCTTTGATAGACTAAAACGGATGTCAATAAGTGCCCTAAAAGAATTAAATTAAGATGGTATTACTGATCTAGAATACCGTTCTAACATTCTAAAGATGGAACAATATAACATCGAAAACACCACTTCGCACTATAAAGACTGTGCGCTCATCTAGTGTACCATAGATAATACACTTAATTTTAAAATAGTGTACTAGAAATAGTAAATCTCTTAAAATTATATAAAAAAAAAGTGTGTGTGTCCGCTCCGACGCACGACTGGAGTTTACTGGATATAAAAAATTAAACGAAACAATACGAGAAATAGTTCTATATTACGACAACACGATACACTACAGATTATTAACAAATTAACGAGACACAAAACAAACGACTAACAAATATATGAAAATACAATAATGAGAGAAACGCGCGATCAGTACGAGGCTTTGTGGCGGACTGCCGGCGCAGCAGCCCGGCGTCACCTGCGATAACGCGGCCGCGCGTTGGCTCCTGATTGGCGCGCGCACGCATCACGCAATCAGGAGCCAATCAGGCGCATAACGCATTTCGTGTGACATGCTAGTACGATTTTGGTCCCCATAATTTTCATACCCCGGGCCTATATATGTAAATCGATTCTAAAGGAGTAAACTCCAATAAGTGCCCTAAAAGAATTAAATTAAGATGGTATTACTGATCTAGAATACCGTTCTAACATTCTAAAGATGGAACAATATAACATCGAAAACACCACTTCGCACTATAAAGACTGTGCGCTCATCTAGTGTACCATAGATAATACACTTAATTTTAAAATAGTGTACTAGAAATAGTAAATCTCTTAAAATTATATAAAAAAAAAGTGTGTGTGTCCGCTCCGACGCACGACTGGAGTTTACTGGATATAAAAAATTAAACGAAACAATACGAGAAATAGTTCTATATTACGACAACACGATACACTACAGATTATTAACAAATTAACGAGACACAAAACAAACGACTAACAAATATATGAAAATACAATAATGAGAGAAACGCGCGATCAGTACGAGGCTTTGTGGCGGACTGCCGGCGCAGCAGCCCGGCGTCACCTGCGATAACGCATTTCGTGTGACATGCGCAATCAGGCGCATAACGCATTTCGTGTGACATGCTAGTACGATTTTGGTCCCCATAATTTTCATACCCCGGGCCTATATATGTAAATCGATTCTAAAGGAGTAAACTCCAAAAAAACATCAAACAATACTCTATTCTTGGTGATAGTCCGGTCATCGTTCTCATCGAACCCGTCGCTTGCGACGAAGAGCTCGACGAGTAAATTAACCCTCAGACACAGCCTACTGAGTTTCTTGCCGGATCTTCTCAGTCGTCGAACATCGTCGGGTTTGAGCCCCGTGAGCTCACCTACTTTTAAGGTTACGCTGAAATAGCCTCTCAAGGCTTTCAGCTAGGTAGGAAAAAAGTGTTTCCCTAAGTTGCTTATCACTAGTCCTGTACTATATATGCATTACCTACTATAATCTATGTTCGGTGCATTCGTGTTGAGCAATGCACCGGTGTTCGAATCTCAGGCGGGTACCAATTTTTCTAATGAAATACGTACTCAACAAATGTTCACGATTAACTTCCACGGTGTAGGAATAACATCGTGTAATAAATATCAAATCCGCAAAATTATAATTTGCGTAATTACTGGTGGTAGGTGCTTTTGTGAGTCCGCACGGATAAGTTTAGTACCACCATCCTGCCTATTTCTGCCGTGAAGCAGTAATGCGTTTCGGTTTGAAGGGTGGGGCAGCCGTTGTAGAACTTATATCTCAAGGTGGGTGGCGCATTTACGTTGTAGATATCTATGGGCTCCAGTAACCACTTACCACCAGGTGGGCTGTGAGCTCGTCCATCCATCTAAGCAATAAATAAAAAACAACAATAGACTTTTTGGCGGGAACGCGTACTTGGAAATACGCATATTGGAAAACGGCCATTGTCTATTTAGTGTTTCGTCAGGTTTAAATGTGTAATAACGGTTGTTTATTAACTGTTTAATATCTGTGAATGTGCACAAATGTGGAAAAATGAAACAAATCCGCTGGACGTAGCTTCTCGGGATCTTCCAAAAAGTCCACTGAAAAAATCTCAGTAAATCATTTTACTGAGATTATATTTCATCCCATATCATCTCATCTCATTTCATTTAATTTCATCCCAGTTGATTAATGTTTCAAATTAATCATCTTCATTTTATTTCATTTCACTCCTTAATATTTATTTTTAATAAAAATAAGAATATTTAATAAATTAAAATAAGACATGACCTAACAGTCTTAGTTACCAAGTCATAAAATCCCTTAAAAAAACATAATACATAGATTGACACGTGTTTTTGTTGTGGTTTTTTTTTCGTTTTTTAATTTCTCTTTGTGAATTCGTTGCCTGTTGCAGTAACGATGGGTTTAGATAAACTAGAAGATCTAGCTTTAAAACTATTTTCTATTGATGCCGTGAAATTTGGAGATTTTACTACTAAGACCGGCATCAAAACACCGGCCTATTTTGATTTGAGGGTTATTGTTAGTTATCCCGACATCATGGTAAGTCAAAATGCTGAAGAAAATAAATTATGTTTACGCTCCGTAAACGGTCTCCAGGCCTCTCGTACGATTAAATAAGACCATCTAATTATTATGGTTAAAAGCCCGATAACACAATAGTTCAAGAAAAATAATAAAAAGGTACCTCTTTTTTTTGTTGTTGTAGGAGCTTACCTCGAATATGTTGTACGATTTAGCCGTAAAAGACAGCCAATTTGATCATTTGTGTGGAGTTCCATATACTGCCTTGCCCATTGCTACACTACTAAGTATACAAGCGAAAAAACCTATGTTGATGAGAAGGAAAGAAACAAAATCTTATGGAACCAAAAAAAGCATTGAAGGTCATTTTAAAAAAGATGACACATGTCTCATCATCGAGGACGTCATAACATCTGGCTCAAGCATACTGGAAACAGTCAAAGATTTGAAAAATGAAGGGCTCGTAACTACAGAAGCTGCCATTATTTTAGACCGGGAGCAAGGTGGTAGGGAGAACTTAGCTAAAAATGGCATCCATGTAAAATCATTGTTCACAATGAGAACATTGATTGAAATACTTAAAAAACACAAGAAAATAACAGATGAAATTGTAGTTACAGTAAAAAATTACTTGAATGAAACAAAGGCTCCTGTTATAGGTAAAACTATTTTATTTTAATCTTTTTTACCAATGTTTGGAGCCTCGAGGGGCTATCCTAGCTTTAACAGATGTGTAGAGAGCTTATTGTGCTCTGCCTGGCAAATTTGCAAAGACTAGCCTTAGCAAGGGCAATGCCGTGCTGAATCTACCACTGGATCAGGATAGGGACCCACCGAGATGATCTGGCAAGAAACCCAGTGGGCTCTGTGATTGTAAGCAAGCATAAGTAAGCATAATCATTATAGATATCGATTAATTGTCAGGAGAGTGGCAGTGGCCAAAATAGAAAAAAAAAAAGGTATTAAATAATCTTGCCTAATTACAAGTACCAAAGAATATTTGGACTTTAGGTCT